TTATTATTATTTTAATTTTTAAGTAATCCCTTACACCCATTGTAGGGGTTGCACTTACAATCCTGAGATCATGCTCCACTGAGTGAGCCAGCCAGCTGCCCCAAGAATGGCAGATTTTTTTTTAAAGATTTATTTTTTTTTACTTTTATTTTTATTATTTTTATTTTTATTTTTTTTAAAGATTTTATTTATTTGACAGAGATCACAAGTAGGCAGAGAGAGAGAGGGGGAAGCAGGCTCCCCACTGAGAGAGTCCAGTGTGGTCCTGGGATCAGGGCCTGAGCCGAAGGCAGAGGCTTTAACCCACTGAGCCACCCAGGCACCCCCAAAATTCAATTTTTTTTTTTAAAAGATTTTATTTATTTATTTGACAGATAGAGATCACAAGTAGGCAGAGAGGCAGGCAGAGAGAGAGAGGAGGAAGCAGGCTCCCCGCTGAGCAGAGAGCCCCACGTGGGGCTCGATCCCAGGACCCTGGGACGACCATGACCCGAGCTGAAGGCAGAGGCTTTAACCCACTGAGCCACCCAGGCGCCCCCCAAAATTCAATTTTAAATTAAGGAAATTGTACTAAAGTTTCTCAGTATGTAATTATGCATAAAAAATAGGATTTATACAGTTCTTAAATTAACTTCTTTTTTTTTTTTTAAGATTTTATTTATTTATTTGACAGGGAGAGATCACAAGCAGGCAGAGAGGCAGGCAGAGAGAGAGGAGGAAGCAGGCTCCCTGCTGAGCAGAGAGCCTGATGCGGGGCTCGATCCTAGAACCCTGGGATCATGACCCGGGCCGAAGGCAGAGGCTTTAACCCACTGAGCCACCGAGGCGCCCCTTAAATTAACTTCTTATGTATAGTTTATATCATTTTATTAAAAAAATGAATAACTGAAAATTACCATTTAGTAGTAACTAATTTGTTTTATGGGACATGAATAATTTAAAGCATATTTGTCATTTAAATAATTACTTATTTGAAACAGTAACTTACTAATAAAAAATGGAAACATTTGAAAACACTCAACTTAGTTGAGTTAATCCACTGTAGCTGTTTGCAGATGTTTTCCTACACTGATGGTCTGTGGTCTGAGGTACTTGTGCATTACAGTCACCTCTCAATTATCTGTGTTAATGGGACACAACAGCGCATGGATAATCCTAAAACAAAGTACTTGATAGAGTACCTTCTCGATATCTGTTGTGGCCTGTATGTGTTTGGATCCATGAAGGAGATGTGAGAATGGGTCTCAGGCTTACAAGGGAGCTGGGAGCCAGTATGACTATCTCAAGGTGATAAGAGGTGTTTTCGAGGCCTTGGGTTTAGCACTGCAGAGCTGAGATGTCATGGGGAGGCCCGCAACATGTGAAATCAGACCCGGCAGTTGGAATGAGGAGGATAGAGACACACATTAATAAGGATCTTTCAGTAAGAATAGTCCACACAGTTGCAGTGATATTACTTGGTGTGTTTTTGGTTAACAGGTAGCAAAAAACAATAGTGTTTATTAGAAGTGTACTTGCATTAGTTTTGGTCATCTTTGTGTGTTAAACACATATTTTACTTGCTACAGGTAAGAGCTGTTACTGAGATCTCTGCTAAGTAAGAATAAATTTATTGTCATGTAACTAGTTATTTCAGAAATCCAGGACAAATTTGGAATACTTTTTTCTTACTATTAAAATTCTTCCTAAATATCAATGTTGAACTAGTTCTTTCAAAATTTAACTTTAATGCATTCTAGTTTTGTAATGTCAAAGAATATTATGAAGGCAAATGCAGTGGTGATTAGTGAAAGCTATGAATTTGATTTAGGAAAAACAGAGAAGCCATATTTTAAATTAAAAACATCATAGGAGCTTTACAAAAATTCTTTTAATACTTGTAGTTGGCTGGGAGTTCATGAGTGCTGAAGCTGGATGGTAGCTGGATATAGAGAGAGGAGTGTTCATTCTGTTACTCTAATTTGAAAACGATTTTCCCCAAGAGAAAGCTTTGAAAAATTTGAAGTAGGTGATTCCTGAAAATTTCAGAATGTTATGGACCAAACTTTCTGCTCCTTCCTTATGGATTAGATTTGTTGTTCTCTGTTATTCAGACTCCAAATAAAACCGTAGCTATTTTCTGAATATATATTTGATTTTGTTCACAAGAACTCCTACAGTTCAGCCTAGTGTGCTAGTAAGATGGCCAGAATACAAATTATGCTCTTTGGTTATCTTAACCATTTATTACTTTTATTATGTAGATGTTTTTAAAAAAACGAATGAAACCGAATATCTATACGTAGCCAGACACTAGAGACATTAATCTCTCAAGTCAGCTCTTGTAACAAGTTTGGAAACAATTGATATTTGAGAGCGCATAATGTAAGGACAAGTGAATTTGTCTTTCCTCTACATCACTGGTTCTCGAGCAGGGAGTTTTACCCCACGGGGACATTTGGCAATGTCAGACAGTTTTGGTTCTCAGAGCTTGGTTCCGGGGAGTGCTGCAGGTCTGCTGGGGTACTTGTTCACATCACGCAATACTCAGGACAGCCTCCCACAACAACAAAATTATCAAAATGTTAAGAGTATCGCTGTTAAGCTGCTCTCGTTTTCTAAGATGTAGGAATTATTTTAGAGTAGACAGTTAGGAATATTATATAACCAAACTAAATTCTTTTGATTTTCCATGGATATGTATGCTGTCAAGAATTATGTTTTAAACATGCCTTCAGTTTTTACTTAGAATTAATATAAGAAGCAACATTTTTCTCTTCAGAATTCCTCCAGCCAATTCTTTTTAAAGTTTAGTACTGGGAAAATTATCCTTCCTGATGAAGGGATGTATTTTCTTGAAAATCATTGTTTGCACTTTGCCTTCCCTCCCAGGAAGCTGGAAGAGCCCAGATTAGGTTTATAGTTCTGAGATCTTTTCCTTTGCTATATTGGTTTTTGTTTTATCCTTAGTGTAGTGATCTGTGGGTTTTGGATGTGTGTTTGTGTGTATATAAAGTGAACACAGAAGTAGTATGTAAGTGTCTCTAGGCCCCAGGCATGATGAGATGTTTTCAGTGCTTTTTTAAAAAAAGTCTCAGTTTTTTCAAACAGTTAAAAAATATGTGCTTAGTATAAAATGTAATTGTGTATTAATGTAGATATGGAAAGTCGCTTTCCCATTTTTATTCTCCGGAAATTTGTTAATATTTTCACCACAAAAATTTGAAATTGAAGGTTCAATTTGCAGTAAACTTAGAATTCTACTCTGGACAGTTGGGTTTGCATTCTTATGGTTTCTTTTCTTTTCTTTTTTTTTTTTTTTTTTTAATTTTATTTATTTATTTGTCAGAGAGAGAGCACAAGCAGGGGAATGGCAGGCAAAGGAAAAAGTAGGCTCTCCACTGAGCAGGGACTCCGATGTGGGACTCGACCCTAGGACCCTGGGATCATGACCTGAGACTAAGGCAGACGCTTAAGCTCCTGAGCCACCCAGGTGCCCAGCTTTCAGATGTCTTTCTTTTTTTTTTTTTTTTTAAGATTTTATTTGTTCATTTGAGAGAGCACAGAGAGAGAGTGAAAGGGAGAAGCAGACTCCCCACCTACCTAGCAGAGAGCCCAATGTGGGACTCCATCCCAGGACCCTGAGATCATGACCTGAGCCAAAGGCAGATGCTTAACCTCCTGAGCCACCCAGGCGCCCCTGTTTTCAGATTTCTTAAAGTGATAGTTAATACTGTCATAATGGTTATCATCTTTTCATTTCTATGTTTATTACCGGGTTCTATTTTAGGACAGGGGAAAGTGAAGTAGGGCCAGGGAGGAAGTAATGTCTGTTAATTGCTGCTTGAGCCAGGAGTGGTGTGAGAGATGTGAACAATTTTAATGAGGTTTTTTCCAACTTTTTTGACTGCAACGCACAGTAAAAAATATATTTTACATTGCATCCAATACACAATTTCTGTATGTATTCTGTATATCTGTATATCTCTATATATAGTTATGTACATAAATAAATGTTTCAGGAAAAAATAATATATGTATATACAGTCTAGTATTTCTGTTCTTTTTTATTTAAAATCATTGCTCTTCATATTCCACTAAATTACAACCTGCTGTTTGAAAAAATGCTGTTTAAGTGTATTAATTATCTGTGTTTGTGCAGAAAGTCACCATCTATTAGCAAATAGAAGACTAAGTAAAAAACCACATTTATCCTATGTGAACATTTAATAAATAGGATGAATTAATGAAATATTTTATAAATATTTGTCATGCTAAAATCTAAGCAAACTTAAGTGTTTTGGTTTGTTTTGGTAAAAAGATGACTGTTAACATTGTATGTATATTTTAAGCCTCTTAATTTTGGTAAATTAAAAAGCATTTGAACACCAATGGAAATTATACTAATAGGTCATTTTAAAATGTAACCAAATTAATACTTGGGGCTTTCTTAATCATTATGTTAGTTTAAATATTAATGGAGTTTGGGGAAAAGTTAGCATGCTTTAACCCAAGGGTTGGCATACTTTTTCTGTCAAGGCCCAGCTAATAAATATTTTAGGCTTTGCAGGCCATGCAGTCTTTGTTTTAACTTCTCATCTCTGCCTCTGTACTGTGAAAATATGTATGCAAGTAGAATAGCTATGGACCAATAAAATTTTATTTATGGGGACAGAAATTTGAATTCTGTATAATTTTCATGTTATGACATTATCTTTTTCTGACTTTTAAAAACCACTAAAACATGTAAACACTACTCCTGGGTTGTTAAAACCAAACCAAACAAAAACTTCAGGTTGTAAAGAAACAGGTTGTGGGCCGGATTGGGTCTGCCAGCCGTGATTTGCTACCCTTGCTTTAGCATGAGAATGGAGAAAGCCAATAGGTCCCAAAAGGACAAAATTGAGCAGTGGAGTTTAAGTATATGAATAATGATGTTAAATCTCTGAGGATTTATATTTTTATTTTTCTGAGTAATAGAGCTATACATTTTTGTGTTGTGTTTATATTATGTTTTGCAGACTGTTGATATTCATAAAGAGAAAGTTGCAAGAAGAGAGATCGGTATTTTGACTACCAATAAAAACACTTCAAGGACACATAAAATTATTGCTCCGGCCAATCTTGAACGACCAGTTCGTTATATTAGAAAACCTATTGACTATACAATTCTAGATGATATTGGACATGGAGTAAAGGTAAGTATAATTTTTGTCAACCTTTTAAAAACAGTAGCCCATAATGGAACTAACTCTTTAGAAAATTAAGCTTTTGTCTTTTCTTTCTTAGAAGCCCAAGTTTTGGCCCAGTTGTGGTTCTGAAGATTCCTTACTACTATAACTATTTTATCTTTCTTGCTTCTTCTTAGTGCTGTGTTTTCAAGTTTTAAGTAGTCATCTTTAAATAAATTGCATTTACTTAATCGGTTATGAGACTACCTTATATAGATCGGGCAAATAAGTATGGCATAATTTTTCTAATCTTTAATGATTTAATATGACTAATTAAAAATTTCCTCAGCATGTTCTTAAAGTACCTTATCTCAAACATTTATCAGCAAAGCTTTGGCATTAGTGTTCAGAAGGAACATGTATAAACAACCATGTAGTTTGAATCTTTCTAAAATAATTTTACCTAAGTATTTTGGGTGAGAATAGTGTAGATGAAAGTAACATGTGAATTAATATTTCCACTGCTTTTGAATATGCAGCCATTATATATATAGACTATTTTTTAAAATGTTTTGGAGTGTCTGCTGTATACTGCCATGATCAAAGCTGAGGTGCATATAAATTTCATTTAAATTGGTATTTATACTTAAGTAACTATTTGGAGCTTCCACTAAGTATTAAGTTACTTAAAGCTTTCATCTTAACCAGTGATTTGAAAGGCATTGACTTATCAAATGTGACTTTGAATACATATTTACATACGTGTGAAACTGTATGGTTTATACAGTTGATTTATGTCTACAAAAGCAAATTGAAACTGAAAAAATACCATACTGTTATGGCTACAAATCGGTTAAATGTAAATTTAATGTAGATCTAGGTAAAAGAAAACATACAATGTGAATTTAGAAAAGTCTTTTTCTTAGAATTTTGATATAAGCATTATTTGGAGTTTGATATTTAATTTTATAAAATATTTAAAATTTTATAATTTGAGATTTATTCAAGGCTAATAACTGCTGATAGAAAATCTTAGGGTAATGCCAGAACCTGATCGCAATAGGCACTTAGAACGTAAAGCATCATATTTGTGCTTGTCTGCTTGCATAATAAACACATGATTTCCTTCCCACTCCAGTTCTTACTTAATTCAAGTAAAATGTTATTCTTTTGGGACTCTGTACTCTTTTTTATTATTTGGACTTTCAGTGTTTACGGGTCACGAATTTGAAGAAATCTTTAATAAAGTTTTTGAATAAAACAATGTCATATAATTTCATCAAAAAACCCTCCTGTTCATGACACATTCTGCTTTGACCACTCTTTCTATGATCTACTGAAACATTATTTTTTAATGCTGAATGCTTAACTTGTTTTTTCTTTGTTTTTTTCCTTTCTCTTCACATCCTGAAGTTCCAACTAACCTTTCAATGCTTTTTTTCCTTACCTCTTTTATTTGCTCCATTTATGCATTAAGTGGTTGCTTAGATTTAAGGTAAGAGATTCCAGGGCTGGATTTCCATTCTTTGTTCTTATGTAGAATATTACATACGGGGAGTGAAGAGATATTTGGCACTTGGCCTTCTAAAATCAACAAATCCTCTTAATTTTTAAAAATTTTTGTCATGCAGCTTTGTGGTGTGTCTTCATGTTCTGTGAGGGCAGATTTTTTTTTTGTCTGTTTTGTTCACCACCCGGTCTTGTGTGCCTAAAACAGTACCTGATGCAGACATTAGGTGCTCAGTAAATATTTTTGAATAAATGCTTATTTTGCAATGTTAATATATTTTGTGGAACTAAAATATGTTACCCTATCATAAAATGTCATTATAAGTAAAATTAGGTGGACTTTTGTAAATGTAAAACCTGTGTTACGGATTGGAGGGCCAACTAATGTGCTTTATTTAACCCTCCCCCTGTGTAATAGCCTTTTTATTCTATAAATGGTGTGCTTTACTATACACCTTGTGGCCAGTATGTCATTATCTCTTGACTCTTAGTCAATGTAAAGAAATTGAGAAGTGGAAAATATTCAGTGTTATGGGTTTTTTTTTAAGTTGCAGTATCATGTATTCTGCAAGAAGCAAAATTAGTTTCTCTTTTTCAAATTGCTATATAAGATATATATTTCAATATAAACTCACTTTAAGAGTTTTACTAGCTGAGCATTAATTATCTCAAAACATCAAAAGTTCACGAGTGTTTAACAAAATACACATTAAGAATTAGAAATATTTATTTTAGTAACACTTTAGGGTTTGTTTGTTTTTTCACATTTTAGTATTTTGGAGAATTAATGGTAAAAGACATTCAAGTGTATTCAAGAAGCATTTAAATAGAATGTTACTAAAATTATTTTCATCAAATTTAGCATGTATTTCCTTTTTGTTCTTATTTTTCTTAGCTAAACTTTATAACTTCTTTTCAAATACATTTTCTTTCAAAACCCTGTTATTTGCCTTGTCTTCAAAGACAAAGACTTCAAAGAAAGTGATAACAAGACGATAACAGGATCTGAATCATTAGCTACTAGTACCAGCCATGGCCTCAGACATTTTAACAGATCCTGGTAGAGAGATGAGACTAGAGGGGTCAAGCAAATAAACTTCTTGTGTTACTGAGTAAATGTTGGGTCCACGCCCTTAGTCTTGGTGAGTGGGGCATGTGGAATTTGTGAGGATACTCCTTCTGGATTATATACAAAGAACTAACCCAAAGCAGTGTGTGACTACCTTAGCTCTTTTCCTGTAAATATTGTATTTAAATTTTAGCTATTGATGTGTTTTTTTCCAAAGTGATAAAAGTGCACAGAAAGATTACCTGAAGGAAAAACACAGAAATGGACCAGTTCTTTTCCACTCTTAAGTTTAGACCAGCTTGCTTATCCTACTCTGCCATGCTCATTTCCTCCAAGCCCAACTATGATTCCTTCTTGACCTTCCTGGATTCAGAATCTGTTCCATCCGGGAGATAGATCAAAATGAGTAGGAAATGAGAGAAGCCCCTAGAAAGAAAGGAAATATCACACTTGTATAAGACTCCTTCAAGTCTTTGCTGTTTGTACCAACCATAAGGCTTCACTCCTGAGTACTGTGGCTTTATGTAGGTGTTTCTGCAATATCTGGGTAGAGTTGCCCGGTGAAAAGAGTACCCTGAATTCATCCTGGAAGCTAGAATGCACCCGTGCTCTGTCTTTTCTTTCTCTCTGCTTTGTGAATGTCTGTCTTCTCTGTTAACTTGTAGCAAGCACATGGTTAATAACTTTAGGTGAACCAAAACAAAGTAGAGTGAAAAAGATGTTCAGTGTATAACAAATCATTTCTCTTTTTATTCTGGTATTAAAAAATGGAGTGGTTTTGGAAGGGTGATTAATGGAATAATTTAATACATTAAGGTAGAAAATAGAATTAAAGAGAAAATGTTACAGTTGGAAGGGGCTGCAGTGGTTTAGTGGTTTAAGTGGTTTCCATCTGATCTTGGAGACCTGTGGATTATATCAAGTGCTCTAAAGGTCCCCTGATGTTTGTTGGTAGAATTATCTGCTACTTTGATTTCCTCAGTTCTTCATGAACTCTGTGTTTGCTCTTGTTGCTGTCAGACTTCTGATCCTTTTCAGACAGACTCTAAACAAAGATCACACTTTGAGGCCAGACACATGGGATTTGACTCAGAAGAATTCTCCATACTAAAAGTTGAATTTTTAACATTTTATATAGCATGTTCTCCACAGTCAACTAAAGAAAAAAAAAAACATAAATTTCAGATGAAGAGGACCATGAACCACTGTGAGAACACGCTATGGTCAAACTCCTAATTATAGCTTTGATTTCCTTCGAAGGATCTCCTAGTCCTTTTCTTTTTTCTTTCTTTCTTTCTTTCTTTTTTTTTTTTTTTTAAATAAGTTGAACTTATTTATTTGACAGAGATCACAAGTAGGCAGAGAGGCAGGCAGAGAGAGAGGAGGAAGCGGACTCCCTGCGGAGCAGAGATCACGAGATGCGGGGCTCAATCCCAGGACCCTGGGATCATGATCTGAGCTGAAGGCAGAGGCCTTAGCCCACTGAGCCACCCAGGTGCCCCACTCCTAGTCCTTTTCTTGCTAGCCCTGGGAATTGAAGTAGGAACATGTATCTACTCTGAGGAGAAGGATAGAGATCTATAGGAAGACAAAAAATTATGTATTGGGTGAGACTGTGGGGAATAATATTGGACAGTGAATGAAGGGCCCAGAAGTGCTTGACCACAGCTTCTGCCCATCCTCACTATTCCACATCCAGATACAGCTATCTGTAGTACTCCTCTTCTCTCTGTGTATTTATTTTCTTATGTATTTATTTAAAGATTTTATTTATTTGACAGAGAGAGAGATCACAAGTAGGCAGAGAGGCAGGCAGAGAGAGGGGAAGCAGGCTCCCTGCTGAGCAGAGAACCCGATGCGGGACTCGATCCCAGGATCCTGAGATCATGACCTGAGTCGAAAGTGAAGGCTTAACCCACTGAGCCACCCAGGCACCCCCTCTGTGTATATTTAAAACCTTTTTTTTTTTTTTTTTAAACAGTCCAGCTTAAACTTTTCTCTGAACCTTTCTGTAGTTTTTCCTTCTCATATTGATATTTCTTTTTTAGAGATTTCTAGATAATTTATAGACATTCCTTTTTGTTTAAAACATAGGAATCCTATTTTATTCCAAAGTACTTTAAAATCCTTAAAAGCAGAGGCATCATTTTATGGGCCTTTGTGTCCCATTCCACCTCCCCCTGCCCCCAGCGCCAAATGTCCCCCTTAGTTTTCATATTCCTTACCCTTGTCCCTCGTAGTCTGGTAGGTGATAAGTGGTTGATAAATGAGGGATATACTTCAGATATCATTTTAGAATGAGTCTGCCGCTATTCTGTCACAGCAGGACCTATGTGAGGGGGGATTTCTTCATAGCAGAAGTGATGTCCTTTGTGCACTAGAGATACTGGCGAGCCCACTTGACAAAAACACTGAAGTGCTCAGGGCCCCGGAGAGCGCTGCGGTTTATAGTGAACATTATATTATGACGTATCAAGATTCAAGGAGATACTGAATGTCCCAAAAAGGCATAGAGCAGGAAAGGTAGGAGCATTATAGAAAAAATATTAAGGCATGAGAATGGGCCTGATGCTTGTTGCTAGTTGTAGAGCTCTCCAAAGCCTGGGAAAGAGGACCATTCTTTGAACATAAAGAACTTCTCTTCCTCCAGTTTTATCTGCATTCCTTAGTCACAGTCCAGTTGCAAAGTATTAGAGCCTCATCACTTAAATGAAATATTTCTTCTGCTTTGAGGTTTTTTTTTTTTTTTGGTAGGAAAAAAAAGGGGAATGTTTCCTACTCTTCCTCCTTGTACTTAATACCTGCTTTACTTAGCTTTCAGTGATGACTTTCCCCTTTATGGAATTAAAAAATACCCACGTAATTGAGTAATTGTTGAAGTCAGCCACCAAACTGCATTCTGATTCCCAAATAAAACTTGAAAAGTATAATGAGCAATCCCCATGCTTCAGGACCATTAACTACATGTTTATATGCCAAGCGATAGTTCTGTTTATGTTTACAATTTGTTTTAAAGTTTCATGTGGAATTGCTGTTATAAAGTGGGTACAGTTTTGCTTTGCTTTCTTTGTCCCGAGTTGATGGTCTGTTCTCTTTCTTTTTGTCTGTCTTTTGATCTCTCTCCCTGGAGGTCCCCTTCACCGTACACACAATTTAGTCTGTGTTTTGCTGCTTGTGAGATGTTGTCTCCCCACAAACTTCCCTCAGAATAGTGTTTAGAACCGGGATCGCTCTCCAGTAAATTTTTATCAAATGATTTTATTTTTGAAATATACTTTTTAAAATTACAACACAGAGCCCACCTGTGATAAATTAAGTTTTATCCGGCCGTTACTCCTGTTCGTTCCCCTTCTCCTTACATTAGACGGCAGCAGCATTTATATTTCTTTAAATATTTCTTTCTTTCTTTATTTGAGAGAGCGCACAAGTGCGAGTGGGAACAGAAGGAAAGGGACGGGTTGGGGGAGAGAGAAGCAGACTCCCCACTGAGCACAGAGTCCCACAGGCCCACAACCCTGAGAGGTCATGACCTGAGCTGAAATCAGGAGTGGGTGCTCAACCAACTGTGCCACCTAGGTGCCCCCCGTGTTTATATTCTGCAGAGCAGAGCCATTGTTTTACTTAGCATGGGAGCATTTTCCACAAAGGAAGACCACCTTGAAGAAATATTGAAAAATTCTTTTAGCTTAATATAAGAGTACAGTATCAGTGATGTATAGAATTACAGTTTTTTGGACACTCGGCAGGGCCTTTTTTGTCTCTTCAGTGATTTAAGTTACGTATCCAAACCCCATTAACCAAGCAGATACAGTCATTTGATGACCCTACAGATCATAAAATGTGTCAAGTTTTGTTTATGGAACTGTCCATCAGATTTTAACTATAGAATGTTTATATTTTTTAATTGATTAGAAGATACTGCAATTTAAATAAAAACACTTTAGATACCAAAACCTTGAATCAAAGTTGGAAAGCTATTTTCAAGTATTTTAGCTATTCCATGTATAGAATAAAATTCTCTTTTACTTTTTCTGTCCCTGCTCCTTTTCCTTCCCGTTTCTAGCAAATTGATGTAGTTTAGTGTGGCTCACCTACTTCTCCCTCGTCACTTAAAGTAACTTTGGGTTTTATGTTGTTTAAGGTTGAGCTTAAAGGACTTTGGTTATACTATAAAAAATCTTCTGGTATCATAAATGAAGATTACAGTTTGAAAAGCTACTGGTTTTTTGTCATATTACTCCTAAAATTTTCCCCAAATGTGGACTGATTTTTTTCAAAAATTTTCTGGCATTTTCATTTTAAGATATGATTAGCATACCCTCTGCTTATTAATGAGGGGAAGAACAAGGATAAGTTAATCTTTATTCTTACTTAATAACCGGTTTGTTTGTATTTGTTTAAAAGTAACAAAAGGATTATAGATGAATGTTTCACCTTAAAAATATTGACATCTCAAAGGTATCATTTGTCATTAAAGATTGTTTTAACATCACACACAACTTGTTCACTGGGCTATTCATTTGAAGAGTTTGTTTCTTGATACATTATTTCTTGTCTATTCAGATAACAACTAGTCTTTTAGGAGTTTTACAAATTGCATTTAAGCCAGAATTAATTGTGACAGCCTTAATACTCTGCATACAGTTATGAGTTTTAAAATTTATATTTTGAAATACAATTATAAATGTATCCTGATTTCAGTGGTGTAGTGTCTTACAGTTTCATTTTATAAGTATAACTTGAATACTCCAGACATATTCTTATTAGAAAAGATTTTTTTTTTTTTAAGTATTTGACAATCCAGAATATTAGGGGCTTGAAATAGGGTGAGGTATGAATCTATCTGTTGAACACTTACTCTGACCCATTGGTAATTTCAAACAGGTTGAGACTGTATTTGTGAATGACTTCTATTACCGCTTTAAGACATGCCGATTTCTAGAGCTTTGGGTGTAAGTGCTGATCTACTTCTTCGGTGGCATCAGTTTTTCCCAGATGACACTAGTCTCCTACCCTTGCATTTTCAGTTAGATATAGAATAGTGAGGAGTCATGGCCCAGCTCTGACTTAGGACTCTGTTACATCTTTCCCAGAATCTTTATTTTGGATCTGAGTGGGTCTAATTCCCAGTGGAACTAGGGCATTGTCTGTGACCCCTGTATTGCTTATAATTGAATGAGATATCTCAGCCCTAACTTTCTAGTTCAGAGGTTTAGGAGCGTGCCTTAACTTTGGGCAGTTTTCAGGTGGGTGATTCCTTCATAAGAGAACCAATTAAAGAAATCTGAATTGTAAGACTGATCCACTATTTTAAAAACTGAAAATTTTTTCAGCATATTATACCTTTTAATTATTTTATATTCTCTAGTTACAAGGGATCAAAACTGTAGTGCATATTTTATTGGGAAACATGTATTTTTTTAATAATATACTTGCTATCTAAAAAGAGTTATTTAAAGCCATCGTTTTTGAGTTTCTCTTTATTAGAACTAAAGTTCTTATAGTTATCCTATTGAATTTCAATTAAATATAGTATCAAGTAATCTAACCAGTGATCTGTTGGTGTGATGGCCTAATGGCAAATACAGTCTTTGCATATAAGTTTACAATCATTTGAAAATCTCATGTTAGGAAGAGTCCTTTGAGTACAACTGTAGAATAATAGTAGAGTAGAAATTGCATATGAAATGCATGGCCTCTAATTTTTTTTCCTCTTTAAACCTTACCCTCCTTTGTTAAATAGCATAACGTTATTTCCCACAAGTGACACTTTGTTTCACTATGTACAAGTTTTGATTGTTCCTCAAAATTTTTTTAGGTGAGTACCCAGAATATGAAGATGGGTGGGCTGCCGCGTACGACACCTCCAACTCAGAAACCCCCCAGTCCCCCTATGTCAGGGAAGGGGACACTTGGGTAAGTATGTAACTAAATAATAATTGAAAACCATTTCATGTAGTGTTGTTGAAAACCAAACACTACATATATTTAAACTATTTTTTAATATTTGAAACAAGAACATTTTCTTCCTAACATTAACTTTTTTGTGTTTAACTTTCCCTTTTTCTGGGAAGCATGTTTATACTTTAAAAAGATTTTGTTTAAAAGTTATTTTTCTACTGAATTTTGAATTTGAGGTAAAATCCTAGCCCAAGTTCATGGTTTATTATAAATTGCACTCTAATTTCTGAAACATTTTAGAGTTGTTTCATATTCATTTCACAAAAGAATACTTAGACTGTTCTTGTGAAAAACACCATGTGGATTTACAAAATTCCGTATATCTTGTGTTGATATGAGAATATCAAGCTTAATTTAGTCCAGCAGAAGTGAGCTCTGGATTTAACTTCGGGCAGAAATGGCCAATTAATGTAAAAGCTTCTAACATTTTTCTTCTGTAGCATCATAGTATAAAAATTTGATTTACTGGCGTGTCTGGCTGGCTCCAGCAGAAGAGCATGCAGCTCTTGATCTCAGGGTTGGGATTTCCAGCCCCACGATGGGTATAGCGATTACTTAAATAAATCAATCTTAAAAAAATTTTATCATGGAGATTTGTGATCAGATGGACATAATATATCCCAGAAGCCGGATGACTAAGACTGGTCCAGCTCTGCTCCTGCTCTTCTGTCTTGCATAGTCAGCCTCTTTGCAATTCAGTTTTTTCATCTGTAAAAGGGGGTAATATTTGTCCTCTATCAACTTTTCAGAGTCATTGTACCACAAATTGGATTTTTAAAAAATGTATAAGACAAAGACAAAATGCTTTGACAACCATTGGCTTTATGATATATTCTTAAAATTTTTTTAATTGGAGATGTTGTTTTTGGCCCCCTCACCAAAAAAAAAAAAAAAAGAAAAAGAAAAAAAAAGAAAAAGAAAAAGAAAAAAAAGGGAAAGAAAATGACAGAAAACCTAATTAAGCACCATGGGTCAGGACAGTACAAAGATGAGTTAAAATGTAAAGGAGGATAATTCTGGAAGAGGAGTTACAGTTAGGACAGTGGGAAATAAAAGAATAAAAATGAATTCCAGCTAGAAATAAGATCATTTTATTTGGGATCAGCAAAACAAATTCTGCTTAAGATTAGAGAGAAAATTAGTAGATCAAATAAGATTTAAACTTCAGGGTAGAATGTTGATGAGATGATAGGGTGTAACTGTGAGAGGCAAGGGTAGAGAGATGAAGAGGAAGTATTTATTTTCCTATGGAACGTCTACATTTTTATCATTTGTAGTGCCTAATAGCTTTTGTTAGGTGTTTTTTGTTTTTTTTTTCTTTTTCAGATTTTGTTAGGTTTTAAGTCAAGATTGTTCGCAGGGTAACCCACTGTCATCTCTAGTAAAATAAAACTTCGTGTTGCTCTCAAATTTTGGAGATTTATTCATATACCAGAATTTGTTTCCCTTGTGTATTAGCAAGGGTTCTGCAGGATCTTGGAGACCAGAGTTGCTGAACACCACAAGCCAGTTGATAGTCACAACCTGGCTTTTTTGCATAGTCTTTGCCTAGCCATCATATTTTGTTCTTTTGCCCCTAATTTTTTACTTTGTTTTTTATCATTGCCTTCACTGTATTGTTCTCAGTCAGCAAAGGTTTTTTCTTCCATTGAAACAGAACATTTTTATTGTCTGGGAAAATTGTCTAGAAATCAGTTGTTTGGAAATAATCAGTTTCCTGTCTTAGGTTTTTTTTTTTTTTTTTTAAATTATAATTTCAGAGATGCCTAAACTTTTTAGTATTTTAAATCCAAGTTCCTGACATTCCTTTTTTCTTCCTTGGACCCAGTATCTCATTTATTGCCCTTTACTTATATTTAATTATTAATGTATACATGTAATTATGCAAGATTTTGAGGAGTGAGCAGGCTGGAGTGAACAGGGTGAGTGCAAAGTGATCAGTGAACCATAATGAATCAAAATCAATGAACCATAACTTGAGTAGCCCAGGAGAGCTGTATTTAAAGGAACCCTGGGATTTTGCGGGGAGTGAATTATTGAGAATTTTATGAGCGAGCAACATCATTTCAGGAAAAGAAAGCTTTTTAATTTTCACTTCTTGAAATTCCAGTTTTGATTCTTTTAGAAACCAGAATCTTATCTGCAAAATGCTGTTTCATGTCAGTTTTTTCATTGTCATAAAGAATTCAGAAACTTAGGGATGGGAACTAACTTAGTAATCACTAATGTGCCATGGTGCATCGTATTTCCGATCAGACTCTGCTTTGCTTACTTTCCTCATTCTCTTCCTTTTAAAGGAAATTTTGAGAAGAAGAAGGGAATGTTTCAATAAAATCCAGGCCTTTTTGTGCTTTACAGTCCAAATAAGGTAGAAAGACTTAGATGGTCTTTTCTTTTTCTCTCCTTTTAAAATGTTGACCTCTGAGGAAGATAAGAGGTAACAGAGAGCAAGGTGAAAATAGGAGGAGGTGAGGTGAGAACGGAAGGAGATGAGATTAACTTGGTGTATTTCTGTGTATGGATATAGTTTAGTTTCTGTGTATTTACTATATAGAAAGGGAAGTAACTTGTTATAGTTGTTATTGATCATCAGTGCGGGGGTTGTGGAGCCCAGTTATGGATTGATTTATCTGATCTTTGAGTATCTTTGGTTAGGGAGAGAGGGGTGAGGAAGATAATTAGTGCATTCATGCAGTGCAGTTGGGAACCTTTGACATGGTACTAAAATAATTTGAACTCTCCCTCCCCCCGCCAAAAAAAAAGGAGAAGAGAGTTTGGGAAGCACTGACTTACTTGGTGGGAGAATCTTTGTGCTCTCTGAGAATGAGCAAACAAAATTGCATCAGTTCAGGGAAATGAGGTTTGGGACTGAAGAACAGCAATAGTCATCAGAACCCTCATGGCAGAGAAGTGATACTCAAGACTGAAATCGGTAGCGGGGTTATGTTAAAACATTTTCCTGTCTCTGAATACAAATTGTATTTCACTACTGGCAATTCTGAATTTATTGTGCCGAAATTTGCTAATCACACGATACATACGCTCTTCTTTTTGTAGGCGGCACTCCCCCTATCGCACACTGGAGCCAGTGCGTCCTCCAGTGGTACCAAATGATTACGTACCTAGCCCAACCCGTAATATGGCTCCCTCGCAGCAGAGCCCTGTGAGGACAGCTTCTGTGAATCAAAGAAATCGAACTTACAGGTATTTTCTCTACCTCAGTGCAAATGTGATGGTCATAGTACCATAATTTGTTTAGATTACTTCAGTTAAATCTCTCTCATTTTCCAAGCACTAAGTTCTTTTCCTCACTCTACTGCCCCAAACCTCATCTGAATCCACCTCTCTCTCCTCATGTTCTGATGCAGCTTTGAGGTCAGGAAATGGAAAAAACAAACAAACAAAAAAACAAAACAACAACAACAACAAAAACCAGGAAAAAACCAGACATCTTAAAATAAAAACTTCTCTACAAAATTAATAGTTACATTTGGCCTGAAAAAAAGTTTTGGACCAGACGTGGGAAATTGCAAGTTGTTTTTTGGTGGCACTTTACAGATGAAAAACTATACATAACAAAACAGTAATACAGGATGGTACATCAAGATGTCATTACAAACAGAATCAACCTGTTCAGGAAAGCTGTGTTTTTATTATAAAACAATTTTCTTCAGAGAGTAAAACTAATACGGTTTTCATGTGTTGAGCCCTATCACTTACCTCTTGTATTTCTACAGAAGCCTTCCTTCTTTCTCAATTTCCGTTTCCGTCATAGATGCTTATTAAAAGGTGGTCAGAACAAGTTTCTTGAACTCAGTGTTTTTCCTGCTTTGCTCGAATTAATACACAAAGTGGAGGGTTTTTTGAATCATCTTTATTTAGCTGTGTTCATCTCAGAAAATTTTGGGACATGCTGGTGGCATCTTAGTGTATATAAATGCTCATGTTCGGTGGCTCTCCTTTCTTCAGCAGCAGTGGGAGTAGTGGAGGAAGCCACCCGAGCAGTCGGAGCAGCAGTCGGGAGAACAGCGGAAGCGGGAGCGTGGGGGTTCCCATCGCTGTTCCCACTCCCTCTCCTCCCAGTGTCTTTCCAGGTAACACATGAATGGTGCCTCATCTTTGTCTTTTTTGAATTTGAATTCAACTTCTGGTTTAATTACAGTGGGTTTTCTTCAGAATCTGGATTTTTTTCCCCTTTAGGACTCCATAAATGTTGGGAAAGCTTTAAGCATTTGTTATTTTTAACCAAGCGATTTCTGAGTTTATGCTCACAGACTTCTCTGTTATTTGGCTTTGTGTCTTTGGTGCAGTGGCTCAGTTGGTGCTTTGAGGTTTCATGTACCCCTGGGTACCTGTTACCTTATATGTTTGATGCCAGCTGGTGTTACGACATTGCACGTGCTTGGACACAGTGTGCGAATCACGTTGGTAACAACAGAGTGGACAAATACAGAAGAAGTTTTGGGAGTTAAATTTACTGCACTTTTGGAACTTAATACTCTTTGAAATGCCACCCCCTTTTTTTTCCCTGGAACATAAAAATGTCCTTGTTTAATGTGAAGACATCAGAGCTAAACTTTAGTTTTAAAAGCATGACACAGAAGACCTAGGGATAGAATTTTTTTGTATTTAACTTACTCACCCTGATACCAAATGGATAATATCTTTTTAAAAATGATGAAAAGATTTATGTTTTTCTAAAAATTTTTTTTAACCTAATAAGATGTTTTTGTCTGGAATATGTCAAAATGGAATACTGTTTCCTAATGTATTATGTTTAGTTTTATATACTATTTACAAAATACTATGCTAAAAATTATAAAGGGAACATCTTTCTTCCAGAGTAGTAGCTTTCAGGTAAAATAGAATGCTGTTTTTAATGAATTAAAAAATCTGTACATTACCCTGAGCATTTTGAATTATCTGCTGCAAACCTAATAATCATTTAGTATAAGCTTCATTCTTTTTTTTTTTAACCATTCCCTTCTATTCTTGGGTTAGTGTTAAGCACTGAATATTTAACATTAGGTTCTCTAATGCCTTTTCTAATCCTGCCTACTAGGTCTGCCTCATTAATGCCGCCTCTCACTCCTCTTTCCCTCAGCCCCTGCTGGCTCTGCTGGTCCTCCTCCCCTTCCTGCTACTTCTGCATCCGCCCCTGCCCCTCTTGTTCCTGCTACTGTCCCTTCCTCCACCGCCCCAGAGGCTGCTGCTGGGGGGTCTCAGACCCTTGCTGATGGCTTCACTTCTCCAACTCCCCCTGTTGTTTCTTCCACTCCCCCGACAGGTGAGTATGGCTTGTTCCTGGGCAGGCACATCCAGGCATCCGGCTCTTCTTCCTGGAACTCCGGCTTTATGACTTTTGTTTGTGCTGTGTGTGTGTGTGTGTGTGTGTGTGTGTGTGTGTGTAAACTCTGAAGATTAATGGACTGACTAGAAAATGGCATGTGACCAAAGAGTAGAATTTCCTGAGGAAATCAGGGTAAAGTTCACATACATTTTTCATGTGTAGAGTAACACAAATACACATTTTTTTAATTGCTTGAATTTCATTTTCTGGAGATTTGTGAATTTAGTACGGAGTGATCTTCTGTACAGTTTTGAGAAGTTGTGAGAAGTACTGTTACAGATTAAGTCTTTAACTAGAGAAAAGTCTATGGAAATAATTCTAAGATACAATTTTATAGGAAACGTTTGATGTAACAGTTGGGAAGTTTCTGTAAGTCTGTCAGACAGCACTGGAAACACATAGACAATGGACTTTTTAAGAATTTCAGGTTTATGTACGTGTTACTTAAGGTTGAATGGTGTTTTAGTGTTTTAAAACTGCAACCTAAAATCTTTTTTTTTTTTTTTTTGGTAAAGATTTTATGTATTTGACAGAGAGGGAGAAAGGGAACACAAGCAGGGGGAGTGGGAGAGGGAGAAGCAGGCTTCCCACTGAGCAGGGAGCCTGATGAGGGGCTCAATCCTAGGACCCTGGGATCATGACCTGAGCTGAAGGCAGACGCTTAATGACTGAGCCGCCCAGGTGCCCCCTAAAATCTGTCTTGATGGGGAAGGGGAAAAAGGTTCATTTGCTACAAAATATATTTGCACAGTTAATAGTGATGCTGATTAGCAAACAAATTCTTCATCTATTATAAAAATGTATGTGTTTGGACACACATTATCTTAGCTTGTTAAATACTTCATAGAATATATATTTAGCTCTGCTGCTATAACCAGATGTTTAAATGTGTTAAAAGACAGTTCTGGCTAAAATGGATTTTTGGATGGTGTTTCATGGGATAGCTTCTATAATAGAACTTTTTAAGAAAAGCTCTCCATGTAAATGTAAGCGTGGGCTAGTCTTTGATCTACGCACATCTCTGTTAGGCCAGACTGTCTAGTTAAATATGGGAATTCTGTTATGCTCCGGCACCAGTGGAGTAAAAATTACAGCTTGAAGTTGGTTGTAGGCCCAGAAGGAACAAATCACTTCCACCTAGGAGTCAACATTTGAGTAATAAAATCATAATTTAATAGGTACTGCTTTGTAGTCTGCACTGAATAAACATTTGTTATATGAGTGGGTAAGTATAGTTTTTCTTAACAAAAAGAAAGGTGTAAATGCCTTAATAATTTATATCAGTATAATCTCTTTTATACAGTCTTCAACTTACCAAGTACTTTTTTCTTTTCTTCTTAAGGTATGATTTACATACAGTAAAATTCACCCCTTTTCACATGTATGTTTGTGACAAACGTATACAGTGATACAACTGCAGCCCACCTAGCTTGAAGAAAATCTAGACAATCTAAACAGGAGATGCATAATGTATTAAATATTCTAAGATCATATAGACTTAAAAAAAAAAAAAGCTGTAGAATAGTCCCATCACCTGCAGATCTCCTCTGTTCTATGTAGTCCGTTCCTCCTGCTCCCTCCTACCCCGGCGGGCCCTTTGATGTGGCTTTTTTGGTTTTGTTTTTTGTCTCTAAAGTTTTGCCTTTGTAAGAATATCACATAAACAGAAGCAAATGGTCTTTTGGGTCTGGCTTTTTGGCGCTGGCGCATTTGAGATTCATTCAGGTTGTTTCACGGTTCCTTGTTTTGCTCCCTTTTTATTACAGGCTCGTGTTCTGTCACGTGGGGGCGCCACAGCTTGTTGAGCCCTTCCCCGCGGAGGGACATTGGGATCATTTCCATTTTGGGTTATTATGAATAAAATTGACTAGCGTACACACGCAGACTTTGTGTGAGTGTAGGTTTTCAGTTCGTTTGGGTAAACACCTAGGGAGTAGGCTTGCTGGGTTGTGTGGTGAGTGAGTGATTTTAGGAGAGGCTGTGGGCTGTGTCCCAAAGGGGCGAACAGCCTTACCCCACCGCAGGGGGTGGTCTCTGTTGCTCTGCGCACTTGTTAGCACTTGCTGTTGTCGGTTTGCTTTTTTGTTTTTGTTTTTTTTAACTTTAGCCATTCTAATAGGTATATAATAGTTTCTTTGATTTTTCCATTCCCCTAATGACTAATGATGTAGAACCTCTTTTCGTGTGCTTCTTTGCCATCTGTTCATCTTCTTTGATGAAATGTCTCTTTGTTTTGTTCCCCTCCACATACCTTTTGAATTGGATTGTTTTACCAAATTCCTTTATTGCTGAATGTAAGTCCTTATTGGTTATACGATTTGGAAATATTTTCTTCCATTTGTGACTTATCTTTTTATTCTCTTAATGATATCTTTTAGAAGGAGAGTTCTTCATTTTGATTGAGTCTGTTTCTTTTATGGATTGTGCTTTCAGTGTCATACCTTCAAACTTGTTACCTTACACAAGGTCAAAGATTTTGTTCTGTTTTGTTTTTTTTTTTTCCTAGAACTTTTTAAATAATTTTTTTAAAAGATTTTATTTATTTACTTATTTGAGAGGGAGAGAGCGAGAGAGAACATTAGCGGGATAGTTAGGTCTGTGTTAATTAAACTATAGTTTTGTTTGCTTTTTTAACCCAAAGCAAAGTAAATGCCTTATTAATGGAATGAATAGAGAGTCTTTAATGTTTGTCTTTGAATTACTGAGGACTTATGTGAGATTTTAGACTGGATCTAACTATATAAAACTCATAATGGTTTAATTATCAGATGTTTTTAACTTGAAGATAGTAGGTTTGTATTAGTTTGTTACAGATTGATTATGAAAATGCCAATAATGTATTCTATCTGGTGATTCAAATGACAAAATGTACCTTTTAAACAATCATTTATATATTTTTACATTTTTTATCATTGTTGCAGAGACGTGACAGTAGATTATGTAAAAGCTTGAATACTCCAGATTTTTTATACAACAGAATTGATTTTTAGGTTTTGATGCTATCATATGTAAAATTAAATGATATAGAAGATCTTGAGTCCTTTTATAATATTCTTTATATGAATGCACATGAATCCAAGTTGGATAAAGTTACAGAGTTCCTGAAGACCAATTTTGCTCATGTAAACCCTTTGTACTGTCATAGATAAGATAAAAAATTGCCAGAAGTGTTTTTCTTTCTTTTCTCCTTTCCTCCTCCCTTTCTTCCTCCCTGCACTTTCTCCTCCTCTTTCCTCTTCCCTTCATCTCTCCTCTCCTCCCCTGGTTCTTCCTCTCTGCCTTCTGCTCCTCCCCTTCCCCTTTTCTCTCTTCCCCTCCTTTCTTTCCGGTTGGAGTGGTCTTTTAAGGGTGCTCCAGTACTCTGTCTGATCTGTCTGTAAGAGTAGGCCTTCAGTTGAATGATTTTAAGTGGAAGTGGAGTCAAGATAAAATTTAGGAACTGGATTGCATTAGGGAATTGGGTAGATAAAGAAAAAATGTCTTTAGTTGGCATTAGCTGTTTAAGTACTCAGCAAAACTGAGTGAAATTGCTAATATTATAGGTTTAGAGATGGTATTACAAATAAGATACATTTTGATTCCCTTTTTTTACCTTAGCTTTTTTCTTAATTATAAATTTCTTAAGCTCTAATTTTAAGACAAAATAATCGGGACGCCTGGGTGGCTCAGTTGGTTAAGCCGCTGCCTTCGGCTCAGGTCATGATCCCAGGGTCCTGGGATCGAGTCTTACATCGGGCTCCTTGTTCAGTGGGGAGCCTGCTTCTCTCTCTGCCTCTGCCTGCCTCTCTGCCTGCTTGTGTTCTCCCTCCCTTTCTCTCTCTCTCTGACAAGTAAATAAATAAAATCTTTAAAAAAAAAAAAGACAAAATAATCTAGTGTTGGAGATGGAGATTTTTGATTGAATAAAGATGTATTTGATTTGGAATTATGTCACTTGATTGCTGAAATACTTTGTTTTCCTTTAAACTGACTGCTTTGCCACCTTAAATTTACTGCTCTTATTATTTTGAATAAGACTGTGTGAAACATTTTTTTTCTTTTGCTGTCCCAAATGTCATTCTTGTTAAGTTTTTTTTTTAAGTATTTATTTATTTTACAGAGAGAGTTTCCTGCTTTTGCACTTTGATATGTTAGCTGACCAATAACTCTGACCTTGCATGATGTTTAACAGATAGCAATTAAATTAACTAAATATTGTAATTTTTAATAATCTTATTAAGATTCAGGCAGTGTGCCAAAAGCATTTCATTGCCTGAGGTAATTATCTTTTAATGACAGATTTATGCTCTCTTTTCCAGGTCATCCGGTTCAGTTCTATAGCATGAACAGACCCGCCTCTCGCCATACTCCCCCAACAATAGGGGGCTCATTGCCCTATAGACGCCCTCCTTCCATAACTTCACAGACAAGCCTTCAGAATCAGATGAATGGAGGACCTTTTTATAGCCAGAATCCAGGTTAGATTTTCTTTTTCATTCTGTAGAATATATCCAATTAAAATTTTCAGTTACAGGGGAAAAGCCTTTAATTACAAACTACTAGCACATAATAGGTGTTAAATACTATTTGTTGAATGAATAGAAGAATGACTACAAGGTTTGCTAATGCTGTGTCATCCAGTTTTTTTTTAAAATCAGTACATGGTTTCTGTGTAAAGCGTAGAACTTAATTTTTCTGAGCAGAATCTTTGATTGTGTTGGTGATTATTTGCTTTTAAGAATAATATTGTGGTGAACGGTATTTCCTTCTTATTTAACCCGATACCCTTGCTCTGTGAATACCAAATAATGAAAATCGAGTGTTCATGAACAGTCTGTAAGTGGTATAGTGAAAGAGAAGGGATATTTTTGAAGCTGTTTTGTGCTCTGCAGTTACACTGTTGTACTCAGCTCTCATACCAAACCCGTGGTGGGGAGGCTAGGGCTTGGACAGGTCGATCTAGATACTGTAGTCATCTTCCAGTTGCATCATGCATCCATAAAAAGTTAATCTGGCACATATTTAATACCACATGTAGTCATTATTTTTGCTTCTTCCCCAGAGAGGATAAGAGCAAATATTAGACTCTCTGACTATTGTGGACATGGTGTATCAACTTACTGTGTTTTTCTGTATTTTTGCCCACAGGCCACTAAGCCTGTGTATCTTTAATATTAGGGGACAACCCGTTCCCTCATGAACCAGTCTGCTGTGGCTACTACCTTTTGGTGAAATCTTATTCCTTTGGAGTCATGCAGAAGAAACTTGATTCTACTTCTACATAAATGCAGTTTAAAGAATGATTTTATATGTATTATCTCATTTGATTCTCATAATCATGGGATCATTTTCATCTGCATTTTGTAGGATGAGAAACTGAGGCTGAAGTGATGTCCCGTTAGGATTTGAACTTGGGTCATATGCCTCGAAGTTCCGTGTTCTTCTTCGTCCTAGCCTCCTTACCTTCAGATTTGCTTTTAAAAATCTCTCTGAAACTCCTAGTCTTCTCTTTGGTGGGGGTGAGGGGTGGTGAAGAGGATGTCCACATCGCGATAGAAAATGCATGAGAGCCAGAGACCTTATCAGTCTTTATACAGTGTTATGCTGGGAACAGTGCTCAGGACGTTCACTGTGCTTTTCTGAGATGGAAATCTGGCAGCACTGTTCTGTATTTGGTTGAGTTTGAAAGGGCGTTAGAACATAGGAATTAAAATACGGAACACCCAGTGTCTAGTGCCAAGTCCTCCGAGTACAGTAACTGTTTTCTAATGATCCTAAGGGTGCAATAGTTGTTTTCTAATGAGATTATTTCAGAAGCAAGTTAATGAAAGGAACACTTCGATCAGGGAATAACTGAAACCTCTTTGGCTCTCATTGTTTCTTAAGAATTTAACCAAAGAAACAGGAGCACAGACTTACCACTCATCCTGTCAGCAGCTAAGAGGATAACTGAAATAAATAGAGCTAAATGTAAGTTAACAGTTTCTGCCTTAAATATGAGTGTGAAGGGCTTTGGTGGCAAAGAAATATGTGTACACACACACACACACGTACACACGTGTATTTGTACATTTACAGATCTCAACCTAGTTTGGTAAATGTCTTAGTTCAGGCTGCTGTCGTGAAGTGCCATAGGACAGGTGACTTACAAATAACAGAAATTTATGTCTCACAGTTCTGGAGGCTGGAAGTCAGATCAGGGCGCCAACATGGTCAAGGTCTGGGGTTCTCTTCCAGGTAGCTGACTTCCATCTTCTTGTACCCCCCATGGTGGAAAAAAAGAGGGAATTTTCTAGGTCTTCTTTATAAGGGCACGAATTCCATTCTAGAGGGGTCTACCCTCAGGACCTAATTGCCTCCTAAAGACCCCATCTCCTAATACCATCACATGAGAATTCCAACATATGAATTGAGGGATGCATAAATATTCAGTCCATAACGTTAAAGAATTGATAATGTGGTGTTTAAGTACCAACGTCTTTGGTAATAGATAATCCTATATTTTATTGCTCACAGTTCCTTACAGCAAAGACTAAAAAATCTAATTCAAAAAGTGAAATGTTGTTTCCAAGATATGTGACTGTATATAGTTGTATGAGAGAGGAATTTGTGAATGAGTATGGTGTTTTACACAGGGAAAATGTCAAGGTTTACCTTGAATGTTATGAAAACAACTACAAAGAAACTGAAAAAATAACATTGGGTTGGTGGTATTGCAGAAGAGAAGCCAATAACATATATCCTCTAAATGAAAGTTAAGTTATAGCATTACCGTAAATTTCCAGAAGAATACAGATGTGGTAAGGCTTTAGCAAAGTATGAATAAAGAGCAGTAGCAAGAAGCATTTTTCAAATCCTTATATTAGGCAGTCTTTAGGGTTTGTTAGAGAATCCTTACTCTTCTTATCTTTTATTTTTTAAGAATGCTTACTGTAATGAGAGCAAAAAAGCCAGAAAACAACTGAAAAGTGTAATATTCTCAAATGACCAAGTAAGCCAGATAGACACTTAACACTGATTATTAACACAAGCTGTGTTTTTAAACTTTGTGTTAATTTGCTGCTTTTTCTTACCATAACATCTTGTGATTTTTTTTTTTGCTTGGAAGGGAATAACAACAATGATCCAATTCTTTTAACCCTTCTGAAACTACAGAACTGATAATTATTTGGTAACCGTATTCTTTTCCATCAAAGAAGCCTCCTTACTCAGTATGATGAGTTAAGTTCACTTTTAAATGCTCCCTGCTGTTCATGTTTAGGAAAGTTTCACTCTTAAAATGAATTGCTCAAATATTTTCCTTTACTGCAATGTAAAATAGAAGCACCTAAATTTGAATGCACTCTCAGATGTCTGTAACCTCCAAAGGTAGTAGTCTTTCCTTAAAAAAAAGATTTATTTATTTATTTATTTTAGGGACTGGGTTGGGGGGGAGGGGGAAAAGGAGAGAGAAACTTAAGCAGACTCTGCGCTCAATGCAACCCTGAGATCATGACGAGCTGAAACCCAGAGTGGGACACTTAACTGACTTTATCACCCGGGTGCCCCAGTGGTATCCATTAATGGTTTTAGAAGTAGTATTCATTTAGAACATTTGGAATGTTCATTTTGTCTGATTTTCTCAGAGTATTTACAAATCTGTAGAAATAAGCTGTAAAATTCCAAGTTATTTTTCAAAACGTTTTGAAGTAGACATTTTAAAACAATAAGCCTCAAAGATTATGCTCCACAGGATTTCATAAATAACCAGGAAGGTCATGTTCGGAACGTCTGTATATTTCGTCAGCACAGACTCATCCTCTAAGTGTGGTTTGCTTGCAGAGCCTTTACTATGTACATACCTACTTGTTACTGTGTGTAGAACTTAAGACCTCTCTAAAACTCCAGTCATCTGGTGAGGCCATGTCTTCACATTAACATCGTTAGTACATATTGTGAACGTAAAACTCCCGAATCTAAGTTTGGAGATCTTTGGTGGCTATAGGGAAAGGGTCTTGTCAAATGAAGAATCATCTTAACTAAGTGGAGTGGATACAAGTGTCTGATTACTTCTCTTCCCTGTTCATGAGATGCTAGGACTAGAACCAAATAATGCAGATGATTCTTCTCATCAAAATCCTGCTTCAGTCTTCTAGAATGCTTTTGTTTTCAGCTCAACTCTAAGGAAAATAAATCTAGTCTAAAGTAGGATGTTGTGGTTCACAGGAGTTCTTGTCAGATAAAATCTTAATGCGGTCCAGAAAGAAAATGCTGTGGTATCGAAATTAATTTGGATCATCACATTAAATTTTTGCCCTGGGGGAAAAAAGTAGTATTTGGGGTGACCTTTGTAAACTCCATTTGGAACTGAATTTTTTTTCTTTTAAGATTTTATTTATTTATTAGAGAGAGAGAGAGAGAGAGAGAGAGAGAGAGATCACAAGTAGGCAAAGAGAGAGAGAGAACAGGAAGCAGGCTCCCTGCTGAGCAGAGATTCCCAGGACCCTGAGATCATGACCTGAGCCCAAGGCAGAGGCTTAACCCATTGAGTCATCCAGGTGCCCCTGGAACTGAATTTTTTAAACATGGTCTAGCTTTGAGAAAAATCCAACTTGTTTTGTTATGAAGTAAATGTTTTTTAGGAAGATTTGGGATTGGTTTTTACCTGGGCTGTTGTTGGTGGACTTCTTAAAACCATATGATTTCAGATTTTCACTTTCAGAACTAGAAAAGAAATAGAACATACTCATCTTAAAAAATAATAATACACTTGATCTACCTACAAAAAGACTGTTGTGAGTTAAACACCTAATCATTCTGGTTTAGCTGAGCACCAGAAGGTCATAAAAGAAAAAAAAAAAAGGATGAGAAATAGTGACTGAAATGGGGAATTCCCTACTTTTCTGTTATGGGACTGTTGGTAACAGAAGAGGAACATTTTCATCTTATTTGATGGGAACATACACCCAGTAGATACTTTTCTAGAATACCAGTTGCTGTCTCCTTCTCTTTTATCAGCTTTGTCTCTGCTACTTCTATGTTTATTATGTCATCTTCTTCCTCCAAGTTTGGAAACACAGGGTATTGGGAACATACCAGCAATTGTTCCAAGCCTCTGTGAGGGGAAGACAAGGCACCGAAGGGTTTACTACCAAGAAGTACGACCTTAGGGAAAAACCTAATCAAAAGTTACCTTTTAAGAAAGGTACTTGTTTCTAGGGTTATTCTTCTGTCCCTTACAGCTAGATACTCTTCAGTGTTAACTAATAGCTTAACTCTTGTCTATATATCACGTATGTTTCTTAGCTACCAAGTAGTACTTTTTTCATACTATTACTAAGTTTTCTTCTTTTCTCTGTGTTTATGCTGCATTGATTTTTTTTTTTTTTTTTTTTTTTTGGTGACAGGTCCTAGGTTAGGCATTCTGCATGCATTAGTTTTTGGTTTTTGTTCTTTTTAAATCTTTGCAACCGCTCTGTAAAGCAAACCGCTTTTTTCACCACATTTATGGATTAGGTCCAAAGAAATGATTACTAGGTGTTTAACAACAAGGAAATGGCGAATCAGGTGTTTGATGCTGGGTGACTTTGAAGTCCAGTCTCTCACCACTGAGCACTCTTCCCCCTAAGGCACTTCCCTAGTTCCTGTCTACCTACTCACTTTTCCAGGTTTGCACTGGTCATGCTGTTCTAGACCTGTCAGCCTCTGCCCCTCACTTGGTTCTCGTCTTGTCTTTCTCTTCTCCGCTTGTTGAACTCCTTTTCTTCTAGTGCCCATTCTTGAGTGTTTCTGTGTGGCCTTCCGTACAAATACCCCCCCCCACCCCACCATCCCCATGCCGACTCTCCCAGCACAGCGCCCCCCAGCGGATTGCTACAAACATTGCTGGGCTCAGGTTATGTTCTTTGGTATCTCTGGTTAGAATATGAGACCTTTGAGGGCAGTGACTCTTTCATCTTTTCAGTTGTATTAGTCTTAACTGTAATTTGAGTTAATAAAGGTGTTTTCTTTTCATAAGAAGATACATATTGTGCTTTACACTCATTCTGAAGGAAAAGCATAACTGTAGAATTAATCTTGGGCTATTGTTTGGCATGTACCAGCTTTATTTATTTACATACGTTAAACATTCGTTGCAGGCTGACTAGTGCTATGCACTGTACCAGGTGTTTGCGATAGAGGGAAGGACACGTTGGGGAGGAGAGAGTGATTTGAATGAGTCTGGTGTTTTTTGGTATGAATTGGAATTGTAATGACACAGACCTAACTCTCAGAATGGTTTGATACTGGCTTCCTAGCAGAGTGCTTGCCACTTACTAGAAAGTCAGTAAATATTTAATTAATGAATGAAGAACCAATTAATTTGCCTGTTAATTAAGTCATGGAAAGTATAAATTTAGGATGTTGGGATGCAATTTTTTTTCTGGTATTGAACATTTAAACTCGTAACCTTTAAAATCCTGAAAACCAAATTATTCATGATAATCTGCAGAAATTCTTTGAGAAAATATGTTGTTAGTGATATGACAAGATCACTTTGGTGTTACATGGTAGCATAGATCTGTTTATAAGAAATGCTTCCTGTTACAATTTTTAGAACTTTCTTTAAACTCCCCTAATACTTTGTTTTTTGTGTTAATGTATTATCCCTCAAAAGAGGGCCTTTAAGATAGCTTAAAAATATTTGTGCCTAGGGGTTTCCCTCCTTATATGTTTGTTTTATTGTATTAGCCTTTCCTTTTAATGTGACTCGCCCTTAGCCCTTACCCTCCACACCTTTTTGTTTTCGCAGTATCTCTTGCTCCTCCTCCTCCCTCCATCCTACAGGTAACTCCTCAGTTACCTTTAATGGGATTTGTGGCCAGAGTCCAAGAAAATAGTAAGTTTATGTCTTCTTTATGCTGTAGATCAGATTATAGGCATAAAATGTCATTTATATATAATTGGCTGAATAGTCCTTCGTTCACTGAGAGTTCACATATTTGCATATTATGGGCAAGTTCCTGGGTGAGCAGCTAGTGTGATAAAATAATTAAGATGAAGTTCTTTGCTTCCAGATAACTTAAAATCTGGTAGTAAAGATGAGACAAGAATAAAATAAAGCCCATCTAAGAAAAGAAAGACCACATCTAACCAAGGAGATGCTGCTTAGTCCCCCAGATAGCCCGTCTCTTTCTCTGCATTGCTCAGATAGCTAGTAGCCTCGTTTGCTGTCACCGGAGTCGCAGGGTCTGGTGGCCGGGCTTGAGAATCTTCCTCCAGTCTTGTGATTCCAGGTGTAAAAATGGCCATGCCGTGGTAGGTCTCAGGGGACCAAATTGCCAGTCTGTCTCTCCTAGGAGGCCTCGAAGACTGGCAATGAATTTCCATTGGCCTGTAGTCTGGGGTGGAGGCAGGCAGGACCAGATAACTAATTTTACTGACCTATTCAGTCGTCTCCTAGGAAAGCATTAAGGAAGCTCAGGGGACTGATGTCTCCGAAGCAGGAGGCCTGTGTCACACTCAGTGAGGAACTGCTGTTACAGAGACCAGTGAAATAGGCCATAAGATGAATTCTTTTCTGGGGAGAGGTCTATGCAAGGAGCCCACATCACAATCACACAGTTGCACGACGGGCGTGGAATCTGAGCTAGGCGTTTCCATTAATGAAAAGTTTAATGCCATCAGTATGATGAAGCCCAGTTGTATGCATCTCATAACAGGGGTGGCCTGACCAGAGGGGCAGAAATATTTGCACTGTGTTGCTTAGGACTCCTGGTTCTTCAATGGGCGTTGCTGATACCAGAATGGGAGCTCTTAGGAGAGCGGGAATTTTCGGTGCTTCTGCTGGCTGGCTGTTTCCCCTGCACTTAGAGAAGCATCTGACACAAAGCAGACACTTTAGTCCCTGGTTTGTTGTTCTTTTGTGTTGGGGTTGTTTTTTTATTTGTTTGTTTTTTGTGCTTTTGTATCTAACCAAATGTCCCCTTTCATGGACACATTTCTTTGTTGCATTTTAACTGGTTAGAATCCTGTCCCACTTGCCTGAGGGCTCACGGCCTCTTCCGGGTGCCTTTGCATCTCTGTTCGCTTCTGAAAATAGTCTGACTTCCGCTTATTGGAAGGTAAACCAGGAGCACCTCCAGTGTTCAGCAGTGTGATTGCCTTTTGGGATAGTCTTTTCTTTCTTTCCATAGTCACATATATTTCTCACCTACAAAATGTAGAAAAATAAGAAAACTTTGTGTATGAGGTGAGCTGTGGCTGATTTTGCGGACACAGCAGGACTTCTGCATTCAAATGAATGTTCTCTTCAAAACATTCACCTTGGAAAGATGTGTACTTGTCTTTTAGAATTATCTTCTTAGTTTTCAGGTATATTAGCAGATAGTCTATAATAAGATTGATACTTGTAAACAGTCTGGAATTACTTGGAACCAGGTATACTGGGCTGAGTAGTGCAGCTATGATTCTGTTATTCTTAAAATCCTTCTATGGCTCCCCATTGCTCTTTGGATAGAATCCAAACTGTTGGAAGGCCCTTCCTACTTAGTCCTCTTCAGCTTCCTTATGCCTCTTTCTACTAAACTTTGGCCAGTTCTCTGAAGGGTTCCTACTTTCTTACCTTTGTATTTTTTTTTCTCCCTTCACATCTGACATGAAATATCCACCCTCACTCCATCCTGCCCTCTGGCCGTTAACTCTTACTTATTCTTCAGGTTCAGGAAGCCTTTCCTGACCTATGTAAGAGTTTTGGTCTGTTGCTGTGTTTTTCATAGTGACTTAAAGCACTTACCGCATGTAATTACAAGTGAACATTCTGTTGTCCATGTCTCTATGACTTTTGTCTACTGCTCTGTCTCAGTGCTGAACATAGTGGCTAGCCATGGTCGGCTCTCAGTTGATGTTTGTTGAATGAGTAATCATGAAATGTGACTTTAAAGTTACTGATCTTGTCCCATAATAGTGTGTCTTTTAAGATAACAGGCATTGAAGTTCAAATTCCTGCTTTTCCACTTACTTAGTGTAGGACTACTTAATCCTGGAAAGCCAGTTTCCACATAAAATGAGGATTAAAATGGTAGCTTACGTCAGTCTCATTAACTCTGAGGCATTATAAGAAATAGTAAAAATGAGCAGTGGCAGAATCTTTGAGTAATTTTATAATGTAATTTTTCAAGGTGATTGTTTTGAAAGACAGCATTCCTTTGGATCTTTGTTTTTATGTAATTGTTTAAAGTCAGCCTCTTTACCTTATAAATGCAAATAGGTTATATTATTGATTCCCAACCTTATGTAATTTGTCATAAAATATATGCTCAATCACATATCTGTAGTTTTTATTTTAAAAACCCATTAGCAGTAAAAGAATCACTTTTAATGAGTAAAGTTTGGAAGTGCATCAAGCAGTCAGGTTGGGAAGTAGACTGGCAGCGCGTGGGAGAACCTGGAACAGGACAGAGGAGGATACTGACGTCCCAGTCCCCACCAGGCGCCAGCAGTCTTCTCACGTCCACTTGGTTGAATCAGTAGGCTCAGATGAAAGCTAGAAAATAAACAGGATTGCTCAGAGAGTTTCACAGAAACAGTACTGGTACCTCACGAATAAGAATAAATAAATGAAATTGAGCAGCTGATAAATGCAGCTTTACTCAGTTTATTTTGTTGAGCTGTGTCCAGTTATGTACCAACCATTTTGAAAAGCTTTGAGTTGCCCGAGTTTGGATATATGCTGATACTTGAGCCGTGGGAGCAGATTTTTAAGTCACTCTTGCATATTTAGCGTGAGGAAATTCTGGATCACAAATCAGCCTGAACTAGGTGAAATGCTCTCTCTAAAAAAACAGCAAGACGAACATCTTCATGGACGAAGTTACCCAAAGTCTTGTGATTTCCATTCCACTAATTTGGTAAAATGCTATTAAAAAAAATTCATTGAAAGGAATGTAGATTACTAATATTTGACTATTTACAAGTGCATTCTAATTTATTAAAAATGAAATATGCTTGAAAATGTCCAAATTATTAATATTTTTGATAACCACAGCTCCTTGGATATAATATAAAACCAAACTATATTGTACTTACTCTTTCTTTGAAAAAGAGGATTATGTATTAGCATAAACAGGTTCCAGGAGACTCATTTAATAAATACTATTTTAGTTAAGCTTTATTTAACACCCATCAGCCCTGACCCAGAGGGAGGAGAAAGTCATGCTTGGAGATTTGAAACATTATAGTTGGTGGGGAGCCTTCTCTTGCCCACTTATTTTTTGAAAAGATCATTTTTAAAATTAGCATATAATGGATAATTTGTTTCAGGGGTATAAGTCTGTGATTCGTCAGTCTTACACAATTCAGAGCACTAAACCATAGCACATACCCTCCCCAGTGTCCATTACCCAGCAAAAGATCACTATTTCCGTCTAGATTTACATTCCATGTGTATAGAGGCTTGGATAGAAAATACTGAACTTTGCATAACATGTAGTTTTGTTATCAGCTTGATACATTCTTAGTTTCAGATACACCACCTCCTCCACCACCTGTGGAAGAACCGGTCTTTGATGAATCCCCTCCCCCACCTCCTCCCCCAGAAGATTATGAAGAGGAGGAAGCAGCTGTGGTTGAGTATAGTGATCCTTATGCTGAAGAGGACCCACCATGGGCTCCAAGATCTTACTTGGAAAAGGGTAAGTTTCAGAGGGATATCTAGAGGGATGGGAAGACACCTCGACATGGAAATGGAATTTACTCATACTGAAAACCTTACTTATTTTTTTACTGATAGGTAAAGTTTTGCTTGCATAATCTATGCAACATTTTATTAATTTAGCTTACAAGGTTCATGATTTTTGAAAATCACACTAGTAAAATTCTGTCACTCTCTGATTTTATACTGATGGTTATTTATTGTTCCTACTGAACATGCTTTTTTATGAGTGGTTTCTATAAGGCACAAATTTTAAAAATAGACTTTTTCTGGAATGTCTCTGGAAGAGGATGATATTTCCAAATTATTAGTTATTTTTGTGGTATCTTCTTTCAGATATTTTAGGTTAAGCATCTGCATATGAAATTTTCTTCCAAACAATAATGGTTTCTCAGTTTCTTTGCGAAGTACTGTTGGGCATTTTTTTAAGTGAAAAGTTTCTCTGAATGGAACTTTTCTGACATGACACTTTTGGGACACAGGCTTCCAAATCTCACGAAGACTAGCTCAGAAAAAATGTATGCTATCTTCAAATTTTCTGTTAAGGGAATCGAAGCTACTAACTTACTGATTTTAAAAACTGACCACATTAGAATCACCTGGGGAGCTTACTCTAACACATAGGGTAAAGGTAAAGTAACAGTGACAGATTTACCCTTCCTCTTTTTTTTTTTTTAAAGATATTTTATTTATTTATTTGACAGACACAGATCACAAGTAGGCAGAGAGGCAGGCAGAGAGAAAGGAAGGGAAGCAGGCTCCCTGCTGAGCAGAAAGCCCGATGCGGGCCTCGATCCCAGGACCCTGGGATCATGACCTGAGCCTAAGGCAGAGGCTTTAACCCACTGAGCCACCCAGGCGCCCTACCCTTCCTCTTAAAGCAGGAATGAGTCCAGAAAAAAAATACAAAAATAATGATTTTCAGACACTGGATAACAGGCAGTGGTAGACTATGACCCCATGGAGAAGGAAGTCAAACAAGGGAAACCTTTGATTGTCTGAGTTTGCTAACTAGGGGAAATTTCTGGGCCACAGTGCAAGGAGGTGGAACCCAAACAGAGCCTGGAGATCTCACTGCACAGGCAAGGTAGAGATCAGAGTCTTAGGAGGCCACAGAGAAGTAGTAGTTACACAAAGACAGAGGACAGCACTCTGGAGATCTGCAGAAGCGTCCCCGTATGTCTTTGAGCGAACAGTCCTCTGTGTACGTGTGAGGAAACCACCTGAGTTTGGAGAGAGAACCACCAGAAAGGAGTTCGCAAAAGAATTACTGGAAATAACAAGTCTGGGAATGGTTCGTGCTCCTGAGCCAGCCACAACAGAAAGACCTTGCAATGCACAGGGTATAGAGAAGAGGCCTCAAAACTGTCTGCCTGTAGTGACGGGGCCAAATTAGCCATACACTAAAGGTTACTCCAGACTGCCCTAACAGATGCTTAAATACGAACCCTGCAAGTGTCCAACTGATTCCACGTAACTTAGTTGATCTCTAAAACAAAATCCAACATTGCTCAGAAAAGTAAAAAAAAAAAATCCAGAGCACCAAAAGGTAAGATCCACAGTGTCTAACATCCAATCAAAAATTCCAAGGCATGTAAAAAAGCAGGAAAATATAACTAAGTCAGTGAAAAGAAACGGAAATGATTGAGATGGGGGAATTACCCGACAAGGGTGTTTATATTACAGATGCCCCATGGGTCTAAGAAGGTAAGAGCAAACATAAACACAAAAGAGGAGCAGAATGTCTATAAAAAAAAAAAAAGAGAGACCCACATAGAATTTCTAGAGATGAAAAATAACAGTATCTGAAGGGCCAGTTCAGAAGAAAAGATCAGCAACTTGGATGATATGACAATAAAAACTATCCAAAATGAGATGTGGAGAAAAACCAAAAACGGCAACAGATATGTGGGACAATATCAAATAGTTTTCATTTGCAGAAGATATGATTTTTTTTTTTAATTATTTGAGAGAGCGCAAAAGCAGGGGGAGTAGCGGAGGGAGAGGGAGAAGCAGATTTTCCTGCCGAGCAGGATGCCTGATGGGGCTGGATCCCAGGACCCTGAGATCATGTCCTGAGCCGAAGGCAGACACTTTACTGACTGAGCCACTCTGGTCCCCCAGAAGATATGATTTTATATGTAGAAAATCCTATAAGGAATCCACAAAGAAGCTGACAGAGCTAAAAAGCGAGCTCAGCAAGATTGTAAGCCACAAAGCCAATGTGCAGAATTAATTGGATTTTATTTTTTAATTTATTTTTAAAAAGACTTTATTAGAGAGCGACAGAGATAGTGAGAGAGAGCACAATGGGGAGGAGAGGGAGAAGCAGGCTCCCCACTGAGCAGGGAGCCCGATGCAGGGCTTGATTCCAGGATCCTGGGATCGTGACCTGAGCTGAAGGCAGATGCTTAATGGACTGAGCCACCCGGCTGCCCCAAATTAATTGGATTTTTATATATGAGCAACAAACACTTGGTGATTGAAATTTATTCAATTATACCTTTTGTAGTAACATCGAAAATATGAAATACTTAAGGATAAACTTAATAAAATATATGTAAGACCTATATGAGAACTGTAAAACATTAGGAGAAATTAATAAAGGCCTTAAATAAATCAAGAGCTATATTATGCTCTTTGATCATTAATTGTTCAATAATTGGTTTTACCCAAATTGATCTGTAAATTGAATGCAATTTCAGTAAAAATTCTGGGAGCCATTCTTACAGAAATTGACAAGGGATTCTAATAGTTATATGGAAATGTAAAAGATCTAGTGGAATCAAAACAGTTAAAAAAAAACTAATGTTGGAAGCTTTAAACTAAGGCTACAGTATTTGGGACAGTGTGGTACTGATATAAGTATAGAAATATAAATCAATAGAATATAGAATCTAGAAAAAGATCCACACATGTTGTTTAACAAAGGTGTCAAGGTAATTCAGTGGGGAAAGGGTAGTGTTTTCAACAAATGTGCTACAACAACTGGATATCCATCATTTGGGGAGCTTATATTCACAAATAGTGGACTTCCATTTCTGGCCAAGGTAGAGGTAAAAAATTAATGTTCATGTAATTTCTACCCTACTTTACCATACACAAAGATTACCTTGAAATGTATTTTAGACCTATTGTACAACCTACACTGTACAACTTCTGGAGAAAAATATAGGAGAAAATCTCTGTGTTCTGGGATTAGGAAAAAAAATTGTAGAGAGCACATAAAAATTGATAGACTGAATATCATTAAATTTTTCTTCTTCAAAGATGCTATAAATAACAAGGCAAGCCTAGACTGGGAAGAATTTTAGCAAAATAATTCAGTAAGGAGGCAAAAAACTTGTAGAAAAAAAATTTGAACACACTTCATTTAGGTGCATGAATTGCAGATGAGCTCACGAGAAGATGCTTAACGTTATTAGTCATTAGGGAAATGCAGATTAAAGCCACAGTGAACCAGACTAAGTCCCACTGCACACCCTCTAGAGTGACTACAGTTAGCAACCCGGACGATACCAGTATTGGAGGAGGTGTGGGGAAGCTGGAGCGCTTAGGCTTTGCCCGTGAGAATGCAGCACGTTTCAGCTACTTTGACAAACAGCTGTCAGTTTTTTGTTTTGTTTTTTAAGATTTTATTTATTTATTTGACAGAGATCACAAGTAGGCAGAGAGGCAGGCAGAGAGAGAGGGGACAGCAGGCTCCCCGCTGAGCAGGGAGCCTGATGTGGGGCTCGATCCCAGGACCCTGAGATCATGACCTGAGCTGAAGGCAGAGGCTTAACCCACTGAGCCACCCAGGCGCCCCCAGCTGTCAGTTTCTTAAGAAATTAGACATACACTTGCCAAGCCGATCTGGCAGTCCTTTCCTACATATAAGTTAAGAGGAATGAAGATCTGTGTTCACACAAAGACTTGAACTCAAACGTTCATAGCTGCTTTATTCATAATAGATAAAACCTGGAAACAGCCCACATGTCTTTCAGCTAGTGAATGGATAAACTAGTTGTGGGATATCCATCCATTCAATGGAATACTGTGCAGCAAAGAAAAAGGAACAGTCTTACTGATACAAGCAACAGTATGGATGGATTTCAAGCATTCTACTAATGACAGAATCTGGACACTAAAGACTCATACTTCATGGTTCCATTTAAATGAAATCTAGAAAATCAGTGGTTTTCAGGGACCAATGCTGGTGGGTGAGGAAATTTATGTAGGGGCAAAAGGAAACTTTGCGGTGGTGGCATGTTCTATATGATGCTTGTGGTGGTGGCGGTGATGTATTTGTCATGTATACGGTGCATACATTTGGCAAAACTCATTGAACTCTACATGTAAGTGGTTATATTTTATGTCTAAATTACACCTTAATAAAGCTGTTTTTTAAGGAAAATAGCCTGAAGTCCTACAGTAGTAGGGTATGACTTTGGGCATTGACATGTTTTACAAACTCCCTACCTGATTTTCACACTGTCCTAGATAAAGTGATGACAGTTTTCCACTCTGAAAAACCAGGTCAGTTATTCCTTAAGAGAACAGCACAATGAAAGAACGGTTTTGCTTTCTAACAATGTACTCTTCATTGAATATGTTAAAAATCTGCAGAAATTTGTAAGTGAAGATAGTAAGTTACTTTCAGTCCAAGTAACTCTTTGGAGTTTAAGAGTATGTTTGAATTGTTCTCTAAGATGTTTTTCAAAGTTTGATTTGTCCTTAAGTTCAGATCTTTTAAAACATGAAAATCAAGTAAGCGCTTTCTTACTCTTTCCGGCAAAACAAAAAGAATCAACCATGCTTTGCTTATGGTTGCTTTTTCGTTTGAGTGTACATCAGTGTTAAGCCTGCGGCCTAATGACTCATTTTGTTCGCTGAGACTGTAGGGCCTGCATTTGAGTCACTTACGTTGCATTCCGTATGTTTGCACCTCCCGACCTAAGAAACCAGAAGCCCATGGGCGTGCATCCCAGCATCAGAATTTTTTAAAGTTCTTCCCATAATTCCAAGGTTGAGAACCGTTGCCATTGGTTTATCTTAACCTTTGGTGGTTTATCTTAATCTTAACCTTTGATTACTGCCCATACTAGCCAAATGGAGATAAGGTGTATATGTAATTATCTTGATTTAAAAGAACAGATAGTTTTATGTATTTATTATGTGCTTGGCATAATGCTAGAGTTACTATGTATGTAAGGCAGTTAGTCTCCCCATTTTGCAAACTAGGAAATTGAGGTTCAAAAATAATTTATATAACAGAAAATGTTAGTGTTACAAAAAAGATAGTATCATAATAGTTATTAAGATAATAAAATATGCTAACAGTTACATAGATGTTCACTTACAATAAACAAGGCCCGGGGCTGTATCTTGTATGTTCATTGCTTCGTTTAATGCAACTATGTTGTTTTTAGGGTTAGAACTATGTAATTCCCATTATACAGCTGAGTAAAAAGAAGCTTAGGAAAGTTAAGTATATTCTGTAAACTCACAAGTGCTAGAGCTGGGGTTTGAACTAGGTGGTATAACCCTAGAGCCCACATTCTTTTTTTTTTTTTTTTTCAGTTTCCCCTAGAGCCCGAGTTCTTAACCGCTGTACTCAGCTTGATTTCAGATCTGGGATTGAGTCTTAGCCGTACTTTTTATTAGCATTAAATTCTTCCTGGCAAACTTCAACTTGTCAGTGCCCGTTTTATATCCTTCCTTCTATCAAGCCATCTGTTCTTGTGTTCTTCCAGCTCAATGATGTAACTTCTTGGTAGAAGTATAAACAATGTATGGTAACTTATCAGATATATTTCTGTCCTCACAAGACTATGACAGTCCCTTGTCTTATTCATCTATCTCTAAAAATCAGCATGGATGTTCCATTAACTATTTTTAAAAAGTGAATAGTGCCATTATTCTATCTGGGGATTCCAGAAAGCTGTTCAGAGGACATGGCATTTGTGGTGTGTCTTGAAGGATGAGTAGGAGTTTCTCAGACAAATTAACTAGGGCAAGTCACACTAAGTCGTAAGTCTCTGTTGTAGTTTTGTTTTCTTATTTGAGGATTAAGTTTGCACGAGAAACTAACAAAGTCAGTATGTACTTATCAGAACGAGAGCTAGGTGGAGATTTTGAGTGAAGTTCTGAGTGGTATAATAAAGGTACAGAGGACCCTTTTATAAAAATAAATCTTCATGTGGAGTTGAGCAAGTTGAAGGTATCCCAAGTGAACTGAACTGTTGAGCTCTAATGATTAGCAACCAGAGATTGTCTCAGATATTAACCAAGTTATTTAAGCAGTGAAGATGACAGGAGAGCGGACAGGTATCTTCGTTTTCTTAAAACTCTTGGCGCCTCATTGTGGATATGTTGCAATGGCACAGCGCGGCCTGCGTTTTGAAAGAATGTATATTGGAGACTCCACTGCCGACACACACAACTCTTGGGAATTCAACTCCTTCTTCGACTTCATGAAGAGGTGTAGGCTCTAGACAGTCGGAGGAGATGTAAATCTGCCATTCCCTTACTCTCACTGTCTCACTTGACCTTTATGGTGCGTGTTACTGCACGAAGAATAATTCACTTGTTTAAAGATACCCGTTTGGGCACAGCGTGGTGCTCCGGCACGAGCTCAGCTGAAGTAGCCGCCGTCCTTCCCGGTTCTGGGACTGGGCCTCTCTCTGCAGTAAGGTAGTTCCCCCTCGGCTCCTGAACGGTAAGTCTGACTAAATGCGATTTTTTTTTTCCTTTATACTGTTTTGAACCTAACCTCTCCGAGATGGGGTTCCATTGCACGTAACGGAGTATTAGAAAAGCATCTTTTGGTCCGTGTTTAGAAAGTCACTGCAGTGCTGCGGCAGTTGGGAAAGGACGGATATTCGCTTACTTGTTTCTGTCTTTCTGGGGATGTTAATTCTTTTCACATCCTATTTTTTTTCCCTTCTAGTTGTGGCAATTTATGATTATACAAAAGACAAGGAAGACGAGCTGTCCTTTCAGGAAGGAGCCATCATTTACGTCATCAAGAAGAACGATGATGGTTGGTATGAGGGCGTTATGAACGGAGTGACTGGGCTCTTCCCGGGCAATTACGTGGAGTCGATCATGCATTATTCTGAGTAAAGCTCAGCAGGGCTGTGTTTCCCTCACAGGAATAGTCAGGTCTTCCCAGATTATCAAAAGGCCCTGGGGATACCCCTCCAGTGAAATGAAGGAAGGATACAGATGACACAAACTGCTTACGTTTTTTTGGTTTATTCCCCAGTATTAAAAAAGCAAGCTGAATCTGAACAAACGGATCTTTCTGCCATTATTTGTACTATATGCTGAGCTGTTTGCATTAAAATAAAGTGACCGTTTCTAAATATGTCCGAGGCATAACGGCATAGAACTCTGTAAAACAAATCAGGTTAAGACTGATCAGAGAATCTGGGATCTTCCTCAGGAATACTGTACACCCTTGGGATTTCTCCTTCTGCAGAACCCGGGGCACTGGATGTTCCCCAGTGCCTGTGCTGGACGGGCCGCGTCTGGCCCTAGTGCTGTGCCCCAGCCCAGCTGCTTCCACTTGGATGAGGAGGAGTGAACTAGGATTTAACTATCATACTTTACCATTTTTATAACTGTTTCGATGGCTTCTTTCCTCGTAACACTGTAAATCCTGCATTCCCTCGGCACTGGAGTGCGCTCTGTGAGTTAACGCTGCTGACTTGCATCCCTTCATGTTTTTCGGTTTGTAGACGGAGGATGACGAAGTGAGTCCCCAGACATTCTGAGGGTGGTTACTAATTGCTGGTTTGATTTTAATGCGCTGCTGCCGCTGCATGAGACCGCACGGCCCCCGATGCTTGTGGGCCCAGACGTGTGACGTGCGGTCGCCTGGTCCGCACACCGGAGCGGGCGTGCGAAGCTAGACGGGAGGCTCCCGAGAGACCGACCCGGGGAGAGTGTTGTGTTCGCAGATGCCCTAGACTCTTGCCTTAGGCACTGTTTCCGGAGTAGAATCTTGGGAGGTCAGACCAGCTTTTGCTTCTTTCACTATTTAGGAAAACATTCTTTTTTTGGAAAATAGCAGTCATTTCCAAGTCTCTTGACAGTCACTGGGAATCAGAGGCTTGCACTGTGCTCCCCGAGTGTGGGTAACGGCCGGTGTCAGCTGCTGCCGACTTTACTCAGTTCTGAGAAAGGTAAATACTGTCCCGGTCTTGTGACTGGCCTTTGAAGTCGCCGCTCTTGGTAAGAATGTGAACCTTCGATCTCGGACCAAGACTAGTGGGATAAAAGGTATAAGGCCAAATATTCATCCTATTACATAGATAAAAATTAAGATAATTTGGAGCAAAACAGTATTTTTTTCTGTCTGCACAAGTTCTAGCTTCACATCCAGCGGAGTTTGTAAGGCAGACGGCTTTAATCACCACTTCTTTCATCATGTAAGAAATACTGGAAAGATCCAAGAGGGCTTGCTGCTCGCCAGCATCAGGACCGAGCTCAGAGGCCCAGCGCGGCCGTGGGTTTGTCCCCGTCCCAGGAACTTTGCCAGGTCATTTCCCAGTGCTGGGGGCAAAGGGGAAAGGCAGTGCCAGTGACCACATTTATTTCGAATGAAGGCCTTGGACGGGATAGTGCAGGCAGAGGAATTTGATTAAAAAATGGAACAGGAGCACTCGTGTATGAGGGAATTCAGGTGGTGTAAGCAGAAGTTAGTATCCCGCTTGCAGCGGTGTTCTCTGAGCACGAAACTTCACCGCCGTTTAACAGGCCTAGATACAGAGTTCCCGTATCAAGACTTTTCGTTTTCAAGTTGCAGGGGTTTTCCCCCACACATTGCAAGTTAGCGATTTTGCTTTTAGTTTTCTCCGACACTTTGAATGGGGGATTTAGCGTTCATTAACTTGCCTCCCCTTCAGGCTTTTGTTAGGTCTTGACATTCTTTATGTCCTGTTTTCCTTTAAAGCAGTGGCCCCGAGAGTGTCCTCTGAGCCTTCAGGTTCATTATGGACCAAGACTATCTACCTGGATAGGTTAAGCTCTTCTTAGTGTTGGTGTATAACTAGGGAAACTGTTTTGAAATTTAGATGTGTTCCAGTTTTTACTTAAATAGCTCTGTGCTGAGAAAGCTTAGTGGATATTTAAGGCAAGAGCGTATTTTGAAATCCAGTGTAGTATTCACAGCTCACACCTACAGAAGCAGAGAAGATAATTGTGCAGAAAAGTTGGTGGCGGTCAGCTCGCCTGTTGGGCCCCGGCCGGACTGTGGCGCGCAGATGGCGCTGGCGCGGTCCTTCATACTGGGGACCGGCAGCAGAGGGGGCTACCGGGCTCAGCCGACTTGCTCGGTATTATTTAGTACTAATGTATACAATTGTTTTAAAAACACCTTTGAGTTTTCTGCATATTTTAAATTTCTGTACAGTTTTGAATTCTATATATTGTCTTGGAAGGATGCTATGTAATGATGATGATGGGCCAGGCCTACAGTAATTGGAGACTTTTAATGTATGTAATATTTCACAGATTGCATGCTATTAATAGTCTGTGAAGGTAGTATTTCTTGATTTATCATAGGTTCCCCCTATTTGTCTTTTTATGAACTACAGGATGGTTGGTAGTAGGGATTCCAAATGGATGCAGAACTCTTACAGGATATGTAATATTGCGGCAGAGATGATCCACGTCTAGACTCTGCTGACTTGTAAGCAACCATTTTAACAGGATAGAGGGAATCTAATGGGAGAGGGGATTTTTTTCCATCTGAAGTGCTTTTCCTTTAAAAAAAAAAAAAGTGACTTAAGAGTCCCTGTTCCCCCCTCCCCACCCACACCTTTTTGGTACTACTGTTTGAAAGGCCACGGGAAAATGAATGAAAATACACTTTTTTGTTGACCTTATGGCAAGGCAATCAATCAAAAGCCAAAATAGTGTCAAGATCTAGACCTGAGAGATTCAGCCTGCTGCACTCGCAGTAGTTACGAGTCTTTTAAGATGACTTGTTCAGTATTCTCCGTCTTTTTGGCTACTTGTTTTCGCCCTCCCTCGGGGGCAGCTGCCCTTCCCATCTTAGGGTTGGCAAGGGCTGCTGGTTTCGCTGTGTTCCTTGGTCACTAGGTGAGACACTCTCATCCCTCCCTTTCTTCCCCCTCCTGCTTCCCTTCCCCCCCCCAGCTAGACAGAAGGTTTATGCATCTTGACAGTGACGTCTGCGATGGAGCTGTGCTCCCCAGCAGTCTTAAGGTGATGATCACTTAGGATTTCTCTGCTTTAGAGGCATCAAAATGATGGTAGTTTGCTTTCATCTTTTTGTGTTCATTTTCTTTTAGCAGGTACCTTTCTGCATTAAGAACAGTTCCTTTATTTTTTTATTACCTTTTCTCCTTGGTGGAGAAGCATGACATTGTCCTGAAGGCTACCTTTCCCCGGAACAGGGTTTGTTGGAGGAGTTGGCAGGTGACTGCCGAGTCTTTGAAAGAACGGGGATCTGAATCACTTGCCACCTGTTCCCTTCTGAACTTCCTTCCCAGGAACTCCTGACTGGTGTTAAGGTGATTTCCCCTCACATGATTTACTTAGAATCCTAGAATTTTAGAGCTCCATGAGATTTAAAAATTTTTAGTTCATTTTGACTGAGGAAGTTAGAGGTTTCATTTCAGGTAACAGCTAGTTAACAACAGTAGAGTTCCTGACTCAGTCAGTGCCGGTACTCTTTCTGCAGCTGTCTTAATTGAATATGCTGTCTGTTTTGTTTTTTTAAATTATGAGTGCTACTTGATGTCTTCAGGAAGACACTTGAAAAGATACGCTATTTTGATAAATACCATCAGTATTCAAACTGTTTAAGAAGTGTATTAAGCACAACTTAATTAGTGAAAATAATGTTCATGTTCACCCCTGTACTACCCCACTCAGTACTCTGTAGCAAAAACACGTTACCTGATTTCAGCACTGGCGGGAGCACAGCAAACAGCCTTACTTGAGAGAGCCTTATAAAATAGTTCTTCAACGGAGGCATTGTGCTCATAACCGTACATTTACTTTATGCTGATCTTTATTCCTGTTTCTTACTGAGAATTTCCTAATTCTTAAAAAAAAAAAAAAGTTAACAAATGAAACGATAGGGCCTAGCTGTATACAAACGATCCTGGCTCAATATTTTGTAAAAAACACAAAAACAAAAAGCTTATTTTCACATTACAAGAATGTGTCTTTTGCAACTTTAGAATTCTATGGAAAAGCAGTTTTTCATATTTTGTGTCCATGCATCTTTTTTCTCAAGATGGTTTACAAAAAAGAATGTTAAAACAACGTGTGATTTGGCCAGTTGTATTTTAAAGCTCCTCCAGAGAGGGCTGGTGTCCTGAGCCGAGTGGAAATCCTGCAGGAAGACTCGAGGGAGCAGTCTGTTGCCGGTCATGTTTCTGGTGTGTGCCATGAAGCCGCCTCCAGCTGAGTGGGGGAATCTTCACTTTTTAATTTTGAAATTGTATTTGAAATTGTTGCTGTGTACTAAGAACTTGACTTAAATAAAATTCTACAAAGTATGTCCAAGTGTCTTGTGAATGTTCTTACGCAAGTAACCAAAGAGGTTACGAAGGTGGTAAATCGAAGTGTACTGCGGAGAAGCCTTCCCTGTTGCTCTAACTTAACACGAGGGTTTTCACTACAATCCTTTTACTACAAAAAGGAGAGCTTTTTTTCCTCTTTGTTTTGCAAACAATAGTGATTTGTTAATGCACACATTTATACATACCGTGACGCGGGAGGCCAACACGTAATTGTTGTGATATCAAAGCTTTGAAACAAGAAGCATCCCTCTTTTAAAGAAGAAAATCTTAAATACCCAAAGCTTGCTTGCTTCTCTGCTGGTACAAACTGAAGGGTAACCAGGGGAACATACCGAACTGCAGCTCAATTTACCTTCCCACTTAATTTGTCCTTACCGCACAGCTCCTTTGGGGCCCCCCAACGTAACCAGCAAAAAACCCAATTTCTTAATGATGCCAATCCACAAACAGTCAAGTCCCCATGTGTAAATGAAATCTATGTATTCCTTTTATTAAGGATTGGGTAAGCTGACATAATGAAAACACAAAGAAAACAAATTTACACTGACTGTATGACTACTGTCTCTAAGCCATTACAATAGTTCACCGACAGTAACTCGTAATTTGGAAAATAACTTAATCCAGCAGTAGAACAAAAAAACATCATCAGTAGTACTGAATATATCTCTCTCATATATATATATATCTATATATATATCTATATATAGGTTTGCACAATCAGGGAGCAAGGCACATAATGAAATGAGAGCATACATTTAAGCAGAAGAAAATAGCAACAAAGCTGAAAGAAAAATGGTAACTTCACCTTTACTGAGCTGTGCATAATCATAATCTTGAATAATGTTCTCTATCAGGTACGTTATAATGCAGTTCCTTTGCCTTTTTCATGCTTTAAAAAACTATATTCCTACATTGTATCTATTTATGGCAAAGCTCCCACAGCCTAGATATCAGTGTAAGCCTTGACTCCATTTTTTTCAAGAAATGGGAAAAGGATCAATCCCAGTTAAATATGTGCAACTTTCCTTTAAAACAGTAAACAATGTTTTTACAACATTTAGCACAAGCTAATGATATTGTAAATGTATATTTCTATAAAAGGAGTTCACTGATGTCTAATGATAAAATTAAGCAAAATCATTTGAAACATTCCAGTTAATGCTTATTTTCTAGGAGGGATTATTTACAAGTAGGAAAACAAAATATATAGGAAGTAGGAATCATGAAAAATGGCAGTTTTTGGTATTAGGTTATAATAAATCTGACAAACAATGGACAGTTCCCAAAATGCAAAGACTTTCTGTAAGTGCTGCAAGCATGTTCTGCCTAAGGAGAGGTTGAGGCTTCGACAGTTAAGAGCGTGGTATTAATGGCCATCCGTGATGAACGTGGTCACTTCTGAACTTTGCCGTCTTTTAGTATGTAGTATTCGCCATCACCCTGACTCGACTCACTTCTCTAAATGTCTTTGGTAGAAAGCGGCCAGACCCCATTCAGGTAGATGAAGCCATCTCTTGTGAGACAGACACTTTCTCTATTTCTGCGCAAACTACAAATACTCATCCTCCTTTTCTTTCATTAGCACCTCAAAGTTTACTTTTGTTGGATTTTTTTTTTAAATGCTATTCCTCCAAGAGAGTTCAAGGCACTGGGGATTATAGCAGATGGTGTCTTCTCTTCAACAAAGAGCAAACAAATTGGAGGTTTTTTCCCTTATGTGTTTATCAAGTACATTGTTTTTCTTTAGCAAATTTATTCTACAGCTAAATTTCAGGTTTGTTTTACATACAGACCTTCCAGGGGCACAATAAGAATAGAGCACTTGTTTAGTTGGAGGGACAGACTGGCAAAAGTATAGAAATGTTCTACTGAATTTTTAAAGGAAAATCTTAAAAGATAGTGGGATATTTCCTTGTACTCGCATCTCTCTGTGCATCAAATCTCAGTTTGGTGAGTGAGCACATATTCTTATAGGACTAGGGATAACCCTATATAAATGCTGTAACGTGTATAAAAGCAAAAGTGCCAAAAGGAACTGGCAACCTAAAAGGGAGTTTTAGAAATAGACATCTTCTCCTCAAGTGTGTAATCCAGATTATCATACCTACTTTACCTAAAGCAAGTCATTACACCCATAATCCTACAGGGCCACACAGGTTTAACTAGTCTAAACCTGAGTAAAATCTGAGACACTGCATCAGTTACCATGTTAGCTCTGAAGGTATATGGAAAAAAAAAATAGGGAAAAGGTTTTTTGTTTAAATTCACCTTGTGTTTTTAAGAAATTGTTTTTCGCTGAGGAAAAAAAGGTGACAAAGGGGCTCTCTGCTGGCGGCTTGAGAGTCAAATAAAACTGGTCCATACCATTATCTGAACTTTTTTCCCAGGCTCTGCTGTCCCCTTGCATCCTTGACACCAGCTCACTAGCGACGGTGTATTCTCCCAGAAGAGCAGCTTCTGAAACTAACTGGGTGCACAGCTCCTATTAATCTTGATCTCAGAGTTGTCACTGTATCGGATCATGATCTCCCACTTTTGTGTGAACTTTGATAAACTCAGCATTGTTTTTAGTGGCAAGTCACCATTCAGAGAGGGGACTTCCATGATCGTTCCCAGCCCTCAGAGGATGCCGTCAGTGGGCAGGAGCCGTACAACAGCATCACGTCTACACGATATTAGACATTTTCTGATGAAAACGGTTTCCTGTAATTTTTAAGTCACCAATCTTTCTCATCTTAAAAAGTCCCAGAAATTAAAAAAATCCAATTTACAGTTAAGTGGGTTCCTATACAAATCATAAGAATACCTTTCCTAAGGGGAAATCAGAGCAGCTAAAGAAATAATGTGAGTAGTAAAATCCAAGCTGAAAAAAATTTCAGTACAGAAAAATCTAGCTTTTATATTCTTACCTAGAACCTGTGATATCTGTTAACAAAACAGGCTCTGCTGCCCTTCAGAGTCGGTACCCAAACTAAACACAGGGCGATCACCAATTCTGGAACGATCTGTGGTGGAAGTTAGGGGTGTCACTAATTAACCAAGTCACTAGCTGAAACAGGCACCTGTTCGTGCCGCGTCAGCATGCTGATCGTTTCGCAGAGCTGCAGGCAGAACTGTGGGCAATTCTTTCACTCGGGAGGCCCGCGGAGCGCGGCCAGCGGCGCGGAACCACCACCGAGAGCGCTGTGCGCGCTGAAATCGACAGTGCAGATGTGCGAAAGGTCACTTCCTAAGCCTATCGAGCAGACAAAACTACGAGAACAGATGAAAAGATCCAAAAAGTTATCTTCTAAAGAAGCAGGGCTTTAAAAAACGCACAATGGTACATATTCTTATTGCTCCATAAGCACGTGAACTGCTAAGTGTCCTAGAGATCTAGGAGTGGAGGCGCGCTTCGAATTCTCCGTGATGCAATCCTTTTTTGGAGGTGGGTTTACGGCAGTATCTTGTGTATATGGTACAACTTCTGCTTATTCTTAAATTACTTACTAACTGCCCACTGCACTGACATCACTTTTTCCTCATGGGACAACGCCAAAGATTTTTGCAGTTTGCGCTGGAAATCCTTACTCACGACAGGTAGAGAGTGTCACTACAGGACGTGCCCGGGTGTCACTGCTGGGACGGCTGGTTGTCGTTTAAGAGCAGCTCTGAGATCGCAGTTTATTTGTGATGGTCACTTCATCATCGCAAACTGATGAGACAGTACGCAGTTCTCTCGTGTACCAAGGGAAATCCCACAGGACAGGAACAGGCGGTAAGCACCGTGTGAAGCACACAGGACTGCGGCGCCATTGATGGTTTCATTTCACACCAAACTGCACGTGCGTGATATGTAATGTCGCTCACTGCGCCCGGACGACACGCCTCCGTCAGAGCCCCTGGGGACCCGGACGGATCTCCACAACCAGGCCACAGCAAGCAAGAGTCCCAGTGCGCGCCAGCGGCTAAGGATGAAGCGGTCCAAAGCTTCCCCGCCTCCCCTCCCTCTGGGCTAGCCCCGTACTTCAGTGGATTCTTTGTTACACATCACAGTCCACACACAACCTAATGACACCCACACGGGGGGCAGTTCTGTTCTTCCCTAATCACCCACCCTAGAGCAACACACAAAAAAGACTTATTTCAGAAGCTAATTTTGTTTTTTGTCATGATGCACTGTACTGGACATGGGATATGTATATTTGAAATAGCAACTGTCTACAGAGCTCTACTATCCACGTCTACCTAAAGCACACACAAGATACCTGGGGACCAAAGACAGACGGGGACGGAGCATTCCAAGGGTATTGCATCAGATACTCTCGAACCACAAAGCAAAACCAAAGGATCACGAAGCCAAACTCGAGGCTTCGCAAAGCTCAGGAAACAGAGTCCAACAGTATAAAAAGAACTACCCGGGATTACAGTACTAAATTATCCATGTGTTGCAGACAAAGAGCTTACCTGTGACAGAACACATCCCAGACACAGGTGGGATCAGGGCGGCACTACTGCAACTAGAACGGTTCGGTCACACACGTGTTGACTCCCCGTGCGCGAGCGCGGACGGACGCGGCAGCTGTGCAAACTGCCCGCGCGCCAGGGACCCCCGCAGGCTGCTGGCCGCTTCCCGACTTAAAGTGCCCATCGCGTGTCAGTGAGCAAGTGTCAGCGAAGCAGTTCGAACTTCAGCCGACTGGGGAGAAACGGACACAAAAGCCCCATCGATACACCGAACGTTCTGTTGTCTTCTCCAACTGAGAAACAGCACGTAATACACCTAATCCTTAATATATAACACACGACATGCACAGAGAGGCTGCACATGGACACTTACAAATGCCTTCTAAGTCAGTCACTGGGAGTTTTTGGTCCAATCCACATGATACATAACAGAAATCGTTCAGGGACAGGACACACATCCCCTTCCATGTCTCTTCCACCCAAAATACACAACCCATTTTCAGATTAGGAGAGAAAAGGAATAAATAGACTCACTCTGAGCTATATATATACATATACACATACATATATGTGTACATATACATACATATACATACACACACTACCTATATATGCAGAGCTATGTGTGTCCACGCACACGCACACACACACAGCTGGGTTCTACCTGAATAACCACATCATCATACTAGGAGGCTCCGAACACCAGAATCACAGGTGATCAGGTGAGCTGATTGCAGAACTGGTTACAGATACCATGAAAATAAAGTCCAACGGTAGCCACTACCAGTCTCTTGAGAGCTTGGTGTTCTGGTCTCTTTTGGGGGGGGCGGGAGGGGGTCCTCTCCGCAGCGTTGCATAGCCCGATATATGACTACCTCCGAAACCGGCCTTCTGTGGATCAGAAAGCAGTTCCGGGGGGGGCGGCGGCAATGCCATATCATCCATGGTGGCCGTGGGTTCTGCTCTGGACATGCGGGAGGAGGAGAGCGAGCCATGCCGGGTGATGGACTTCCGTTGCAGTGTCCTGTTGAGGTCAGCGAGGAATCCAGGCTGGACACTAAGGCTGGACTTGGGGGAGGTGGGCACTTGTGGCACAACGGTGGCCATTGCCGGCTGCTCAGAGATCTCTGCTTGAGTGAGGCGGGTGCTGTCGTTCCGTTTGGGTCGTGTGGGTGGAGGGGCTTTCTTCGCCGATGTTTTGGACCACGGCTGTGGTTGAGGATTGACGACGGCCACTTTTGGAGAGGTGTTTCCCGAGAATACAGCTGGAATCTCTATGGGGGGCAGAGGCAGCTCTATTTCCGGCGGAGGGGGGGGAAAGTCAGAATCGGATGGAGGAGAAGGAAATTCTACCACAGAGTCCTTTCCACGCGCACTCAGGACAGATGCTTTTGTCGACGCACACCCTTGGAGAATTCCGGGAAGGTTCACTCCAGAAAGATTTAGTTTTCCGGGTTTGGGGGGCGCTGCCGGAGGCGACTGGGTCTCTTTGCCGGGAGACCCTGAGGGTTCTGCTGGCGATGCAAACTTGCTCACTAGACTGTCTACCGAGGGTCTCTTGGGCTCAGGGTGCTCTGCGCAACCGCTGGACTTAATGCTGGAGTTTCGCTGTGGGGTCGGGGGAGGTTTCTTGGCCCCAGGGCTGGATGTCTTACTGGTCTTTTTCCCTGGAGATCCACTTTTGTCAGAGGCAGAAGCTGGGGGTGTAGCTGTCAGAGGCAGCGGGGCCGGGGCTGGAGCAGGGGCTGGTGGGGGTGGGGGCGGGGGCGGGGGGGGGGGGGGGGGGGGGGGGGGGGGGGGGGGGGGGGGGAACACCAGGCTGCTCTCAGGTGGAGGAGGGGGGAAATCCGGAGAGGGGACAGGGATAGAGCTGGGCTGCCACTTGGGTTTTGCTTTTACAGCAGGAGGGGACTGTGGGGCCACATTTGCTGATGGAGGCTTGAAGGGCTGCTCCGCGGGAGGAGGGGCTGGAGGGGGCGGAAACTGGCTGGCGATCTGCTTCACGACCGAGGGCACCGGAGACAGCGGAGACGGAGGTGGCTTTACACAGAAGCTCTGCTGCTTAGGCAATGTTGGGGGGGGGACTGGAGCAGGAGGAGCAGGGGAAGAGGGGGGAACGTGGGAGACAGGGAAAGCGGGCTGCTTTTTTGCTGGGGGAGCTGGAGGAGTGGGCGTGGGTGGCACAGCTTGTGTCATAACAGGTGGCACGCTCTTGGTGCTGGTTGGTAGGGGCATTGTCACAAGGGGCTTGGGGGGCGCCTGGGGAGGGTGGGGTGCAGGGACAGGAGAGGGTGGTGGCGGTGTCGGAGGGGCCGCTTGGACGGCATGCTGAACGTGATGAATCTTCAGTGGAGGGGGTGGAGGGCTGAACTGCGGGAGGGATGGGGTGCAGGGTGCCGGTTTGAGCTGCGCCATGGCTGAGCCCGGGGTGGGGGGCGGGGGCGGAGGAGGGGGTGGGGGAACGACTCCATTGGGGGGCACCAGGATCTGAGGCTTTCCTGACTGGGAGGTGGATGTCAGAGACTGCATCACTGAGGGTGGTGGAGGCTTGAACAGGGGTCCTGAGTGCTGAGAAGCGTTCTGCAGCCTGGTTATTGTGCTGTACTTGACGAACATGGTGGCTGCTGAGCCAGCAGAAGGTGCAGACTGGCTGGGCAGAGGAGGGGGAGGGGGAGGGGGAGGAGGTGGGGGTGGGGGAGGGGGTGGAGGCGGGGGCGGCAGAGGCGGGGAAGGCTGTGAGGCAGTGTAGGGGGTAACCAGCTTGGGCTGTGGGGATAAAGGGGGCATAAGTGAGGTGTAGGGTCGGTTCATAGACTCCATTCTGGCCTAAAAGGAGCATAAGGGGGCGGGGTGGGGGGAGAGAGAAAACACAACAAACACAACAGTTACAGAAGTAAGCTTTGACTGCCTCAAACCAACAGCAGGGAATCTGGGACATGCGAGAAAGGATTCAGCAGCGGAACAATGTCAGGAAGGTGAAAATCGGATCCCCGGGCAACAAAGGCACAGGGAATTTGTTCACCCAGCAGTACTCTCAAGTGGCAAGACTGCCTAACAACCTAGGGAAAACGTCCTGCTGAGCAGTGATGGGCTGCCTGACTTTTGAGCCGCTTCACACACCTGCCATGAACAGGAGCTCCCGCGGGAGGACCTCTGTGCACTGACTCCCCCCCGGACTGTGGCAAGCAGAGATGTGATGGCTCGAGTTCACCCCTCAGTCCATGGCTGCATCCACATCAAGCAGATGCCATAACTGGGTTTAGGAGTCCTGGCGGAGGGCCTCCTGAGGAATGAGGATGACTCTGTGATGCTAGCAAGCGGACACGTGAGAAACAGGAGAATGTTCAGCAGGGCGTGCACAGTCACACAGGAATGAATGAGCTTGACACACACACTCGTGTTCGTGTGAGACACTTGCATCCAACATGCACAGAAGTCCAGCAATGCAGGTAAGGGGGGGGCATTCTTTACATTTGTTTTACTGGAAAACACATAAAGAAATCCTTATAAACATTACAGCAAAAGATTATAAAAACATCATACAGAAAAAGGCAGGAGGAAATGAGAGGAAACCTTAGAAAACTAAAGGAAATGTATCCAGAAATGGCTGCTAGAGTTTGCCAACAATCTGCTGACCAGCCCCTGGGGGTACCTCAGGCACTGCCGGGATTACCACATCTGGTCGTCTGTGTCATGGAGCCACGCATGCACGAATGTGGTTCAGGTGCTTTTGAAAAGAGCCAAGGAAGGTCCCTTGGTTTAATGAAGTCTGGGCAAGTGTTTTAGGTTCTCTGAACAGACTGTGAGGATCCAAGAGGAACCATTTGTTTCCAAATTACAAATGACATCTATTAGCATCAAGAATGCTCAGGTTAGTAGTCTAGAAGGCTCAGGATGGGGTGAATTCTAAGGCCCACCAGGACACTCACGTTTCTTTAAAAACTGCATGAAGTAAAAGCATTAGTCTGCGAGACTTGGTTACAGGAGCCACCCAGGTTAATGTGTTTCCAAAGAACAGCCCCTGACCTTAACTTGACCCTGTCTTGGCCGCTGCGGGGATGCAGACCTTAGCCGTGCTGGCCTTCTCATTTGGCACCTGAGGCTGAGGTAACAGAAGAAACACAGGTGGGGTCAAGACAGACAGACTATTGCTTCTGCACGGCTCGGTGCGCGCGCCAGAAACTTCCCCGACCAACTCTGCTGCTTCAGCACGGAGCATTCGGACCTTTTATTTTTTCTCTTGGCCTTTCATTTAATATATACATGGTCAACACTATTAAAAATTTAGTAAGGCAGAGGATTTTTCTTTAGATACCTGAATTGTGTAAATCTGCTTCTCTAACTGGGTATACAGTTATTAGCACCAGAGAGGGCTGCTTCATCCCAACTGATTAAGTACGGAAAGGGAGATGGAATTACTTCTTAAAATCTGAGCCCCTGATAAGGGAGTTAAACAGTTTTGAGACTTCATGTCATCAGAGCCAATTTCCAAATATTTCTTTCTAAGACAAAAGTGTTCCACCCCCACATTGGGCTATTAACGCCTCTTGCTGAGGGGCAGTTAGTAGACTACATATGCAAATTAAGGAATAAATTAAGGGAAATTATCCACTTAATTCTCATTGGTGAGTGTTCCTGTGTAAGTGATTCAAACCAAAACAACAAAAAAATCACAATGGTTACTGGGTAAAAACACAACGCTGAGGCCAGCTGTGCCTCTGGTCCCTCAGTGATGGCCCGAGCGCCTCCTGCTCAGAGGGCAAGTGCGGCCAGGACACGAAGCTGCCCACAGAACTTCAGAGGCAGGCCTCTGTGCTGTCTCTCACCCGGGCTAAAGAACCTACATAGCTCTCAACAGTCCTCCAATTATAACTCGTCCTTCAGTGCCACTGAATAAGATACCGTACAAAGCCCAGGGATCCAAAATTTTAAGGGGATTAATCTAAATTTAGTCTTCTGCATGTACTAAAATTTGAGAAAATTCATCAATGTGCAGAGAAATGCCCAAAAGCATGAAAGAATAGAAGACAAAGGAACGAGTCTGAATAAATTAAATTAATAATAATGAACCATTAGCAGCTTCTCTGAAACAAAGTTAGGGCACTGGCATTAAATGGCATTGGTTCATCCCAACTGATTAAGGGTGAAAAGGAAGAAGTCATTATTTCTTAAAGTCTGAGCCATAGGTAAGTTGTTAAATTGCCAGTCTGAGATTTTAGGTCAATAGAGCCAATTCACAGATACTCATTTCTGAAGAGAAGTCAAAGTAAGAATACCGAAATAGGGCCCAAAAGAGTTCTAATTAAGGAATAAAAGAGCAACAGACTAACCCATGGAACAGCAGAGATTTTTTTTTAATATAAATTAACAGCAGTGTGTTACCCACCTTGCTGGACTCTTCCAACTGAGTACCACGTCTCCAGGCTTCAGAGAAGATGGAGCTCACAATACTCTGAGAGCGGACGTGTCCTGCTGGCTGAGTATCAGATACTCCACTGTCAGACTGATTAGAATGATTTGACTGAGACTCTGTTTAAAACAGATTAGAAAAATAGGATTAAATAAATTGTTATTCCGACAGTATGAATATGGACTCCCAGCAAGCTCTTTCACACAAGACCAGATGCAGCACTGTAACAAGTTACTTTTACTAAATTCACTCCATATAAGCACAGTCTGAACTTTCCTCTAGAAAACTTCCCTTATCTTAGGGCTAATAGGAAATCTTGATTTTTTTTAAACAGTTCGCCATGGGGCGTCTGGGTGGCTCAGTGGGTTAAGCCTCTGCCTTTGGCTCAGGTCATGATCTCAGAGTCCTGGAATCGAGTCCCGCATCGGGCTCTCTGCTCGGCAGGGAGCCTGCTTCCCCCCATCTCTCTCTGCCTGCCTCTCTGCCTACTTGTGATCTTTCTCTCTGTCAAATAAATAAATAAAATTAAAAACAAAAACAAAAACAGTTCACCATGACAGACTGCACGTTATGAGGAAAGGTTCGTGTAACATTACTGGTATCCTGACAACCCCGGGAGGGTGTTCTTGCCTTGGCTGGAGGCCAGGCTGTACTGCTAACTGTTGCCTGGTGGAGCCAGTACCTGAATCCCACTTCTCACTTGAGCTCAGGGTTGCTGGGAACAGTGGAAGATACACTGGATGTCTGTCTGACATCCAGGGTGAGGGACCTGGGGCGATTATGTCACTGGACCCCACGTCAGGTAAAATATGGAAGCACCTAGCCTAATGGCCGACACCTGGTGGAGATTCAGGTGTTAAAGCTCATCCTATCCAAGGACTCTGTGGAGGGGGGTATTATTAGATTGCTTTACTAATCAAGTCCGCCAAGTCAGCCGAAGCAGTACAGAGGTAACAGCCACAAAATCCTTCGGATAAAGTTAAGACATCCTCAGGCAAAAATAGAGGATAAAACCTACTCTGTTTTCTTCTTTCTTCATCATTCAGTTGCTGAGTCTTTTTAAAGTTTTTGATTTTAATTCCAGTATAATTAACAGTGTTATATTAGTTTCAGGTTTACAATATAGTGATTCAACAATTCTACACATTACTTAGTGCTCATCACAGCAAGTGCCCTCCCTCATCCCCATCGCCTATTTCACCCCTCCCCCCCCCCCCCCCCCCCCCCCCCCCCCCCCCCCTTTTTTCCCCCCCCCCCCCCCCCCACCTCTCCTCTGGTAACCGTCAGTTTGTTTTCTATAGTTAACCGTCTATTTCTTGGTTTGCCTCTCTCTCTGAGAGAAATCATTTGGTATTTGTCCTTCTCTGACTTACTTCACTTAGCATAACATTCCCTAGCTCCATCCATGTTGTTGAAAACGGCCAAGATTTCATTTTTTACAGCTGAATAATTTTCCTGTGTGTGTGTGTGGGTGGGTGTGTGTGTGTGTACACACACACACACCCCCCCCCATCACATCTTCTTTATCCATTCATCCATCTACAGACATCTGGACTCTTTCATAATTCCACAGCTTGGCTATTGTAAATAACGCTGCCATAAACACAGGGGTGTATATATCCTTTTGAACTAATGTCTTTGTATTCTTTGAGTAAATACCCCGGGGTGTGATTCCTGGATCGTAGGGTACTTCCATTTTTAACTTTTTGAGGAACCTCCATACGGTTTCCCACAGTGACCGCACCAATTTGCGTTCCCACCAAAGTGCATAAGGGTTCCTTTTTCTCTACATCCTCGCCAACACTTGTTTCTTGTGTAACTGTTGAGTGTTTTTTAAAAAGTTGCAACCTCATTAGCGTCTTACATCCTTATTTAATTACCAACCAGAACAAGAGCCTATAAGAAAGGAGGCTGGAACATGTGAATCCTTGAGCTCTCTTCATCATCAATGTATACGATTTTGCAATTTATATTTAAAAGTCTGCATAATACTTAACACTGTATAAGGAGGGATGATGCTGGCCTAGGAAAAGGCACCACACCACTTCAAAAATGAAGATTAATGCACCTGCATTGATGCTATATGAACTAAAAAAAATATTATGGCATCTTTTCCCCCAATCTTTCCCTTAATTTTTCAAAAATCTTAACTTGTGACATACTTTTACCTTGCCTTTCTCAATTCATTATCTCAAGTGTCTTCTTCCCCTTTAATAAACATTTTCAGAATAGTTTTAGATTTGTGGAAAAGTTGCAAAGCTAAAAAGAGTTCCTACATACTTAGCACCCAACTGACCTCATTATTCACTTGCTACAGTCCCGTGTACATTTGTCACAACTAAGGAACTAACACGGATATATTACTATTAACTACACTCCAAACTTTATTTGGATTTCCCTAGTTCTTCCATAATGTCTTTTGTTTTTTTTGGATCCAGGATACAACATTATAGTTAACTGTCATGTCTCCTATGACAGTTTCTCAGGCTTTCCTTGTTTTTGATGACCTGGACAGTTCTGAGGAGTACTGGATCAGGTATTTTACCGAATGTCTCTCAATTTTGATTTGTCTGATGTTTTCCTCTTGATTAGACTGAGTTATGAAATTTGGAAAGGAAGACCAAGAGGAGGGGAAGTGGCAATCTCATCACATCAGGTAAAGGGTACATGCTACCAGTAGAATATATTACTGAAGGTACTGACCTTGATCACTCGGCTGGGGTACTGTGTGTCAGATTTTTCCACTGTGAAGTTACTCCCCTTTCCTCCACACCCAACTAGCCTCTTTGGAAACAAGTCACTCTGCACGACCCACACTTAAGGAGGGGGGAATCAAGCTCCATCTCCCTGAGGGCTGAGTATCTGCATAAACCATTTAGAAAATATTCCACACAGAAGATCTGTCTCTTCCCCATTTATTTATTTATTTAATAATGTTTATCAGTATGGACTGATGGCTATTTATAATTTGGATTATAATCTTATACTACGTTATTCTGTTGCTCAAACTGTTTCAGCTTTGGCCCCTGGACACTCTCTCAGGTTGGCTCCCGTGTCCCTTTGCACAGCCCCATCACCGTGTTTTTTTGAGCACTTCCTTCATCATAAGCTGCTTCAGGCTCATCTTATTCTTTGCCATAGCCCTAGTTCCTTTGTTCTGGAAAATGGTATTAGAAGACCAAGATCAAGATACCCTGTATTTTCACTGCTCTTGGGATGTCACTGCTCCTACTTTTCTTAGTGGACAGCACTAGGAAATACATGTATACTAACCCATGTTTATACACATTCTCATTTTGTTTCTACTTACTTAGAAAAACTTACAACTTTTTAGTCAAATACTTCTTTTTAAAAAAAGTCCATAGTTTTTATTTTATCCTAAAGTAAAATAGATTCTGAATGTAGAATTTCCTTAGAGTGTACATACATAGCCAGGTAAAAACATACACTGAAAGATTAATTTATATGTTATACTAGTAAATAAAATGAAAGGGTTTTTTGTTTTGTTTTGTTTTTTTAAGTCAAGTATTTCCTGAAGTTGTTATTTCATGTGATGTCGGAACAAAAATATTTTGCTTTTAGAGGACATAGTTATCATTCATGGAATATTCTGAAGGGAAAGAAGCATTCATTTTAAGGTGTGATCATAGCATACTTGTTTGAAGGATGTAGAAATCTGAAAATAAGCACTTTCTGAGTATCACTGATTTCTTGTGAAAACTTTAATAAGTTTGATGACTTAAACAGCCTCCTTAACTGTGATACTGAACTAGTTCCAGTTATTTCTACTCTGCTGAGATGTCGGGAAACCTACGAGGAAGGAAGGCAGTTTCATCATGGATTCTGGGTATGGAGACTTTCTCCAAGCAATTTTTCTATCCCCAGGTATGCATTAACAGTTGCTATTCAGCAGTATGATTGAGTTCGAAATAAACTTTATAAATGTATTTAACAACACTCTTGGATTTAAAAGTCTATATACTGGTGCTCCATATCAAATACATTTGTGAACTAGCCCATGATACTGTCCCCTCTAACTACCAAATATTTGGTGGTTTTATAATAAAGACATTATAATTTAGACATCAGGTCCAGCTCTGGTTTTAAGAACCTCGCTGAAAGAACCGGGCCTGCCATCAGTCTAGAGAGAGGTCTTTATATTTGCTGTCAGGATTTCAAACTACCTGGGATGCTCGAAGAACTGGATCCTGATTTAATGCTGGAGCTGGATAAGGAAGTCCAATCGTAAGCTGACTCTGTCCTCTTCAAGGCTTCTTGATAGTTCATGTAGAGCTGTTTCCCATACTAAACAGAAGGCAGTAAATGATGACATCTGAACATTACTGGATATGATACAGATGGATGACATCAGAAAGGGGGATACTTTTTTGTTTACTGATTCAGAGTTTGCATTCAAATTAATACCTATAATACTTCAAAAATCATTTTTAATACCAGTAAATTACCATCAACTCTTAGTTATCCTCATTTTAAGAAAGGTAGCAAGAAGTTAACATTTGATTTGTTCATTATCAATATAAAGACTTTTTTTGTTATTCCTAAAGCAATTTTGATTTTATAGCTATCATAAATTTTATTTTCACTTAATGCACATAAATATTCCTTCATGTTTTATGTGTAATCATCTTCAAGATGTCCTTAAAATTTTTTTCAAAGGCTTTTTTTTAGAGCAGTTTTAGGTTCACAGCAAAACTGAGAGAAAGGTAGAAAAACTCCCCATGTGCCCTGTGCCACTATCCATGCCCAATCTCTCATTTATCAATATTCTCCACCAGAGGGTGCATTTGTTTCAATCAATGAACTTACATTAACAAACAAATAATCAAAGCCCACAGTTTACCTTAGGTTTACTCTTGGTGTTGTACATTGGATGGGTTTGGAGAAATGTATAATGACATGTATTTACCATTATAGTATCACACAGAGTATGAATATTTCCACGGCCCTAAAAATCCTGTGTTCTGCTTATTTGCTTCCTCCCCTTCTTCCTTTCCTTTCCCTCCCCCACCTTCTTTCTTTCCTTCTTTTCTTCCTTCCTTCCTTCATTCCCCTATTCCCACCCTGAGGCAATTTAATTCTCCAAAAATTTCTTTTGCTTAGGCTAAACTCTGCTATATAAGAATCATATACCATGTTCTTCAGAGCCAAAATAAATCTACACAAGCTTTTACCAGCAGTATTATTCCATGGATACCAACTGTTAAATGTTTATTCCCTAAGACATTTAAAACAAAAAACTTAGGCCTCAGGAAACACTGAAAAAATAAACATGAATGATTAGAATAACTGTCATGATAATCAAAGCCATATCATAAAACACCTAATTCTTCAACCATCAAACCAAAATAGAACACCCTACCTTTGCAATGCGGATACCATTGACCCACTGATGCAGGGTCCTCATGTCATCACAGCAAAGGTACTTGATATACTGAGATTTCTTCTGGATCTGTGGGTGCTACGAGATTAAAGGCAAAGTCCAATTCAGTACCCTGAAGAACTAAAGAAAAACCTATCAAAGCTTAAACAGACCCTGACAAGTTATAGGCCATCAGAGTCATGGCCAAAAATAATTTGTACCTCTTATATGGCCATAAGGCCAAATAAAATGGCCCATAAGTATTTTTACAAAATAAACTACAAAGCAGGGTGCCTGGGTGGCTCAAGTGGTTTAGCAGCCGACTCTTGATTTTGGCTCAGGTCATGATCTCAAGGTTGTGAGATCAAGCACCTGCTTAGGATTCTCTTTTTCCTTTCCTCTGTCCCTACCCCCTGCTCTCTCCCTAATGAATAAATAAATTAAAATAAATTTTAAAAATTAAAAAAAAAACTACAAAGAAACTGGTTAAATTTTAGCTCAAGATATGCAAATTAAAAAATACCTTTATAGCATGGCAAATCCCCAAATATTCCTTCTATATTTCAGAGAAACACAGTCCATCAAGGTTAACAAACTCAAGAGAACTCTTCATCTACAAGACTATGAAAAGGGAAGACTTTGATTTCACTTTGAACCCACTGGAATCAGGAATTGAGAGGGTGTTTGGTAAAGCTTCTAGCGCTTCTGTGGGGGTGAACCTGTAGGTGGGGTGGGTGAGGGCACAGCACCTGGGACATGAGTGGGCGCTCACACTGGTGCAGTGGTGCCCCCTGTTGTGGACTAAGCACTGCACACTATCTGCCCACAGCACATGTCCTCCAGGGAAGGAGCAGCTTTTCAGCTGCATCACTGCATTCAGTTGTCACTTTCCAGCCCCAGTTTGGATGGGAGGTGACGGACTAGACCAGCTATACAATGCAACTGTTAGAAGAGACTTAAGGTATTTTTTTTTTTAAGATTTTATTTATTTGACAGAGATCACAAGTAGGCAGAGAGGCAGGCAGACAGAGCGAGAGAGGAAGCAGGCTCCCCGCCGAGCAGAGAGCCCGATTCGGGGCTCGATCCCAGGACCCTGAGATCATGACCTGAGCCAAAGGCAGAGGCTTTAACCCACTGAGCCACCCAGGTGCCCGGAGACTTAAGGTATTTTAACTCTACTGGGCCACAACCACTAGTTCCCTGGAAAGAAAAACCCTAAATCATACTTGGTTCTGAATGTTATGGTTGTTAATTATTACTTCTCTTTTCAATTATTCTGGAAAATTTTTTTTTTTAAAGATTTTATTTATTTATTTGACAGAGAGATCACAAGTAGGCAGAGAGGCAGGCAGAGAGAGAGGAGGAAGCAGGCCCCCTGCTGAGCAGAGAGCCCGATGCGGGGCTCGATCCCAGGACCCTGAGATCATGACCTGAGCCGAAGGCAGTGGCTTAACCCACTGAGCCACCCAGGCGCCCCTGGAAAATTTCTTTTAAATGACTACATTATACCTGGGGAAATATTTAAGATTATGTTAAATTATAAGAGGCTTTATTTTTATTTTTTTAAGATTTTATTTGTTTATTTGACAGAGAGAACACAAGTAGGCAGAGAGGCAGGCAGAGAGAGAGAGAGAGAGGGAAGCAGGCTCTCCGCTGAGATCCCAGGACCCTGAGATCATGACCTGAGCTGAAGGCAGAGGCTTAACCCACTGAGCCACCCAGGTGCCCTATAAGAGGCTTTAAAGATTCTCTAACCACATGTGTTGTGGAAATCCATGAGATCAATAAAATAAGCAATTTGGATAAGTTCTCAATGCCGCAGAAATATATGATCACCCATCTAAGTTATGTATATGTATCTGCATTGTTATAAATCAATCTTGGGGCACGTGGGTGGCTCAGTCGGCTAAGCATCAGACTCTTGATTTTGGGTTAGGTGAGATCGAGCCCTGAGTCGGGCTCCACGCTGGGCATGAAGCCTGCTTAAGATTCTCTCTCCCTCTGCCCCTCCCCAACCCTGCTCATTCTTATATGTGGTCTCTTTTAAAAAAAAAAAAAAAAAAGTCAATCTCTCTGGTCTATAGTGGGAGAAATTTAAATCCATTTATTCTATTCTATACATTGTTATATAGAGTTCAGCTCCTATAATAAAATATTTAATACCAAAACCAATTTAGTTATTAAAGGCTAGAGTGAAAGTTTTAAACAATAAATCATCAACAAAAAGTGGTTGGCAAATGATGTGGATGGAACTAGAGGGTATTATGCTAAGCAAAACAGAGAATGATAAATACCATATAATTTCACTAATATGTGGAATTAAAGAAACAAAACAGATGAACATAGGGGAAGGGAAGGAAAAATAAAATAAGATGATAACAGAGAGGAAGGCAAACCATAAGAGACTAACTATAAGAAACAAACTGAGGGCTGCTGGAGGGGAGGTGGGTCAGGGGAAGAGGCAATTGGGCAATGGGCATTAAGGAGGACACTTGATGTAATGAGCACTGGGTGATATATGCAGCTGACGAATCACTAAATTCTATCCCAAAACTAAAAAAAAAAAAAAAAAAAAAGAGGTTAGCCAAACAATACTTAACAGTTTTCTCTCCTTGTAAGTCCCACAGCGTTCTCGTGGAATATATTCCCTCACCCTTATTAAATCACATTATAATAAACCACCATAACAATCTCAAAAAAGCAAAGGAAGACAGGTAGACAAGATGTATTTTTCCATAGAAGAAGGAAGGGGAATTTTATCTCATTCATTCATGCATTTATTGTATAATTCATGTATTTAATGAATAAGAACTATTTGCCAGATCTTTAAGTAGGCATTGGGATAGCCTGTGAGCAAAACAGAAGAAGCCCCAGTTCATGCGGAAGATAAAATGGGATGGCTGAGAAAGGGCTTTCATTGGTGTTACCAGCGAGGGCTCGAAGAGTGGCTGTTCTATTTTCTGTGTCACTCGGGCACCACCTATAGGACAGGGTTTGGACATCTGAACAAGGGGTTCTTGGATGGCTCTCTGCCTTTACCATCAGCCCCTCTTTACGGCGATTCACAAACCATTCTTGACTGATTCCTTCCATTCCTGAGAGCAGGGCTACCCATCATGCATGGGCGTTCAACTGCAGCCATGGGCCTGCTGAGTTCGTTCCACTCATTGCATACACTAAGGGAGTGTTTTTATCAATACAACATCAGAGAAAATAAAAGAGAAACAATTCTCTATCCTTTTCTCCTCATTTCTCCTACCTAACAAGCCAAAGAACACCACGAAGAATACTATGATTTAAAAAAAAAACAACACACAACATTTTATTTCCTTATCTGGGGGAGAGAGAGTGTGAACGCACACAGGAGTGGGATGGGGCAGAGGGAGAGGGAGACAGAAGAGAAGTCCAAGCAGACTGTGCTGAGTAGAGCCTGATATGGGGCTCGATCTCATGACCCTGAGATTATGATCTGAGTCGAAATCAAGAGTTGGACACCTAACCAACTAAGGCATCCAAGTGCCCCTATGACATGCTTAAGTATTTGCAGATCACTTGCTAGTTTCATTTTAGGACCTCACAAATTGTCTTTTTCAACCTCCCGTGTAATAAAGGCACCTTCTATAGCCTTCATTATGGTCACCCAGGCTCTGTACCAATTCCACCAGTATATTATTTCATTAAAAGTGACATCTATTGGGATGCCTGGCTGGCTTAGTCAGGAGAGGATGTGACTCTTGATCTTGGACTTGTGAGTTCAAGCCCTAAGAGAGAACTTTTTTAAAAATGTGGCATTTATTGAGCACTTAGTATATGCTAGGTATTATTACTAAATATGTCACATATATTAATTAGCTTATTCCCTCCTCAGGAAAAACCAATGAGTTACATATTACTATCTTCATCAAATGAAGAGAAACTGAGGCACAGAGGGGTTAAGACAGCAACTTTAAGTTGCTCACATATTCATGCTTATTAGTGAAAAAAACCAGGATTTGAAACCATGCCATCTCATTCTAGGGCCTATGTTCTTAATAATAATGTCATATTTCTGTCTTATTAGTAATGAAATCATCTTCCCAACATGCTGCCTCTCTTTTTCCCCCACAATATCACACAAGAGGAGCACTTGGGTGGCTCAAGTGGGTTAAGTATCTGCCTCTGGTTCAGGTCATGATCCCAGGGTCCTGGGACAGAGCCCAAGTCGAGTCGGGCTCCCTGCTCAGTGGGGAGTCTGCTTGTCCCTCTCCCTACCCCTTCCCCCCACTTGTAGTCTAATAAATAAATAAAATCTTTAAAAAAGTTAAAATTCACACAAGAGCTAAGAGCAAGTATGAAGGAGACATTCTTTGCCAAAAATGAGAAGTTTAACATTTAGATTCTTAAAGATTCCAAAGAGAATATATAATCAAACTGTTCCCCCCTTAACAAATTATCAGCTATTAAGAAAGAAAGGTCATTATTCCATTTTTAAAATGACGTGGATTTGGAAAGTCTGCATTCTCTGATAAAAGATAAAAAACTTGAGAATTTAAAAAAATCTAAGAATACAGTAAGAAATTCCAGATTACTGTTGTGCTATCAGATTACTTTTTTCTATTTATGCCAAAAATTAGATTGAGACAGATAATTCTTAAAACTCTAAAAGCAATGCTCTAAAATCACAGTCCAAGTGCCAAAGGAAAACCTCTGAATATATACTACCCCCTTATTGCTTTGGGAACACAAATAGGCATGAAAATTAATTCTCTCACTAATATCCAAGAAGTTAAAAAGCAAAATATGTAACACTCCAACCTTATTCTACCATTATCATATACAACATCTTTCTTTTAATAACACTGTTTGAAAAGTTCATGTTCATATTCTACCTCTAATCTCTAATCACTTTTTCCTTCTTACCCAACATACTAAAATAAATTATTTTGTTTCGTTTCTTCAGGAATGAAAATCTAGACATGGCTAAGGTAAGCTGTATTCCAACAATTACTGTGGTATATGTATTTTAAAAACACAGGTTTCCTTTAAGAAACTTACATATATGCGTACACATGCATACAGATGTGTGCAACGAGCACATACCTCTTTCAAATAATAGATAACATATACCCTATTTATTCCCTCATTGTCATATTTCATGAAGAGCATCTATTTTCTGTATCCTGCATGTTACTGGAAGAACTCAGACTCAATTGTTATAGCCCAAAGCTGATAAATAAGATCAAACCCTATAAATATTTACATTTGCACAGGTCTTGTGTGGCAGCATTTTTTTGGTTTGTTAGAACTCATATCACAAGAATAAAAACACTTACATAGGCAAAATCTGGTAAAGACTTTTCAGGAAAAAAGAAATACCAATACTTGTGTGGCATCAGGAACATTAATCTCTCTGAACCTCAGTTTCCACATCTGAAAAATAGGGACTCTAGAACAGATATGTGACACTGATGTGCCTAGTGCTTCTAGTGCAGTGTCTGCCACCCTAGAGTTCTACAATAAATGATAGCCATTATTTTTACTACTATTTGTGCCTAGTGGTATAGTTTATTTCAATACCTTGAATATTTCTAAACATAAATAAGTAGGCAATATGAAAATACGAATTTACTTTAACCTACTTCACTAAAAGCAAATATGAAATCCATAAATTATTATATAAGCCAACAAACAAAACCCCCTTAGAATAAAAATATTCTTAACCTAAGAATTCTATGAGTTGCAAAAGGCATTAAATAACAGTCGATGGTCATAATTAATTTTGGCTGTAAAACACACTGCTGGTTGCCTTCCCCACACTTTATCCCCTCTTCCCTACTTTTCTTAAAAGAGCCCAATTTTGTTTGGATGTCCGTCTACCCCGTATGTCAGGGTGTGAATTCTAACTAGGCTAAGCCAAAACACTTGAATAAACTTAACCAAGGAGGTGAAAGACCGGAGAACACTAATGAAAGAAATGAAATATGACACAAAGAAATGGAAAGACATCCCCTGCTCATGGACCGGAAGAACAGATATTAAAATGCCCGTACTAGTCAACGCAATCTATAGCTTTAATGCAATCCCTATCAAAATACTAACAGCATTTTCATACAACTACGACAAATACTACTAAAATTTGTATGAAACCACAGAAGATCCCAAATAGCCAAAGCAGTCTTAAAAAAGAAGAACAAAGCTGGAGGTATCATAATCCCAGATTTGAAGATATACTACAAAGCTGTAACCATCAAAACAGCATGGTACTGGCACAAAAAAAGACACAGAGATCAACGGAACACAACAGAGAGTTCAGAAATAAACCCATGCTTGTATGGTCAGTTAATCTATGCCCAAAAAAGGCAAGAATATATAATGGGGAAAATATAGTCTCTTCAACAAATGATGCTTCCTGGAAGAATTGGACAGCTACATGTAAAGGATGAAACCATACACAAAATAAACTAAAAATGGATTAAAGACCTAAATGTGAGACATAAAACCATAAAACTCCTAAAACAGGCAATAATCTCTTGGACATCAACCCTAACAACATATTTTTGAATATGTCTTCTCAGGCAAGGAAAAATAAAAAATAAATTATTGGGATTGCAGCTATATAAAAAGCTTTTGCACAGCAAAAGAAATCATCAACAAAACATAATGGCAACCTACTGAATGGAAGAAGATATTTGCCAATGATGTGTCCATTAAGGGGTTAATATCCAAAATATATAAAGAACTTATAAAACTCAACCCCCCCAAAATAATCTGATTAAAAAATGAGCAGAGGCTCAGAAGAGAATTTTTCCACGGAAGACATACAGATGGCCAAGAGACACATGAGATGATGCTCCACATCATTTATCATCAGGGAAATGCAAATGGAAACCACAACGAGATATCACTTTACACTTGTCAGAATGGCTAAAATGAAAAACAAAAGATAAAAAGTGTGGGCGAGGACATGGAGAAAAAGGAGCCCTGTGCGCCGCTGGTCGGAACGCAGGCTTGCGCAGCCGCTAAGCTAAACAGTATGGAAGTTCCCCCCAAATTAAAAATCACCATATGATCCAGTAATTCCACTACTGGGTATTTACCCAAAGAAAACAAAAACACTAATTCAAAAAGATATATGCACCCTTATGTTTACTGCAGCATTATTTACAATAGCCAAATTATGGAGACAACCCAAATGTCCACTGATAGATGAATGGATAAAGATGGGACACACACACACACACACACACACACACACACACACACACACACGAGTATTACTCAGCCATTAAAAAAAAAAGGGATCGGGGCCCTGGGTGGCTCAAGTTGGTTAAGCTGCTGCCTTCAGCTCGGGTCATGATCCCAGGGTCCTGGGATCGAGTCTGGCATTGGACTCTCTGCTCAGCAGGGAGCCTGCTTCCCCCCCACCCCACCACCCTGCCTCTCTGCCTACTTGTGATCTCTGTCAAATAAATAAATAAAATCTTAAAAAAAAAAAAAGGGATCTTGCCATTTGCAACAACACAGATGAACTTAGAATATATAATGCTAAGTGAAATAAGTCAGTCAGACAATAATCATATGATTTCACTCATCTGTGAAATTTAAGAAACAAAGCAAATGAACAAAGGAGAAAAAAGAACAAAACTACACTCTTAAATACAAAGAAGTGGTGATTAGCCAGGACAGGGTGGCGGGGTGGAGGGGTGTGGGGGTGTGGGGACGGTGGATGAAAGGATGAAATAAAATAGATGAAGGGTACACATTTATCTTGATGAGCACTGAGAAATGTCAAAATTGTTGAATTAATTACATTATATACCCAAAACTACTACAACACTATGTTAATTATGCTTCAATTTAAAAAATAATTAAAAAAAAGTGGGCATGTACTCAGGCCACTGACTCTCAAGAGGAGGGCTCAGGAGGAAGCCCCTGGGAAATACTTCCTCCCTCTTGAGAGAGACAAGTACAGGGAGAACCAGTTCCTCTTCTTCTGCTGGAAAGAGACAAATATAGGGAGAAATAGTCCCTCCGCTTCTGCTGGGTTTTGCTAGATCCATCGCATGGATCCATCATCCATGTGATACCTAGAACCGCAGTGGCCACCTGCGAGTGTGTGGTGAGCCGGTCTGAGGACAAGCTGATGCGAAGAAGATGGAACAGGGAAAGAAGGAAAGAATTTGGTTTCTTACTGACAAACCTGAACCACTGAAATAACTGACTCTTGCTATTTTCAGGTTACAAGGACACCCCCCACACCAAGTAACTTTCACATATATGGTTTACATCTACTATGTCTACTGATATTTACCACTGACGAAGATTACAACTATGAAAAATTTAAAATACGAGAATATACAAGTATTTGTTCCACTACCCAAGAGAGCAAAGATATCATCATCATATCATGTAATCTCCCGGGAAACTCTACTATACAATTTTGAGAGAATGAGTATAAAAGGCAAGTAACATCTCAGCATTACTGGAATAATAATTTTGACATCACAGACCCTTTGACAAAGTCTGGGATTCCCAGGGGAGCTTGGACTTAATTTTCAAAACTGCCAGATTAAGCTACTTTGTAATGACTTTTAGAAAATTATTTGCTGCTGTAACCTAAATGATACAGTGATATTCTCCAAAAAAGATTATTTAATAAAGGGGCACCATTACAATGGTATTTTTATTTTTATCAAAGCAATTAAAAACTCCACCCCAAAACCCCAAACCCAACTGACATGATACAAACATGGAGACCTAAGTAATTACCAAGAGGTGACAAGAACAGAGCCAATGAGAAAAATATAATCATCTCCATAATTATCTTGAATTTTAAAATGTTGTCTTTATCAGTAGCATAAATCTAATTAGCGCTATTTAGCTAGAGGTCAGCTGTGGTGTGAGCATATACTTCTTTTCCTTACCATTCTTCACCATTCCTTTTAAAGCGTATAGAAAAAGCAAAAACAGTATACTTGATAGAGCTACAAACTATTCTAAAATGTGCAATAACTCACTCTATGTCTAACATCAATTAAAATTCCTAAAAAGGAAATGTGTTTACCTTCAGCACCAGACAATGATCTGTAGGTGCTTTGTATTTGTTCCTGTAATCCTGTCCGTAATAAACGTTGACATGATCCAGCTGGAGAAAGCACACCAGTTCCCGAGAGACCTAAGATAAAAATACCCGTAAGACTGAATTAACAATAATGTATAAATCAGCAAACATCATACCTGGTAACAGCTGCCGGCGGCAGATGACAAGGCAGTGAGAGTCTCTAAAAATGTTCCTTCTTTAACCCAGGATACAACAAAAAAGCAGTCCATCTCACTTACTGTCTGCCATTCACAATGAACACAGACGTGCTTGGAAAGGGTGGCATTTAAGGAGACTTTAAGTATAATATAATATTAAATACAATATAGTAGAACTCTGGGGAAAAATAAGAAAATATCATATAGTTCAGTGCTCATAATGCATAGTTCAAGTACAATGATTCTAAAGTCAGGGTTTCCTCACCTTAAAGAGGCAACAAAATATGCCTCTTGGGAGGGTGGTAAAGCCTGGATGAGAGGACGCTATAAGGAGTTTAAAACAGTGCAGGTCCCGCTACGCACAGAAAAGGCCTCTACCAAGGGGTCCCTCAGCAGGAGCTAGTATCCAAGAAAGGTGGAAATGCCTGTAATCCCAGAATGCTATCCTCCCCAAACAATAACAAGCAAAAACTACTCCGACAGAAGTTCTGAAAATAATAAATAAAAGTATGATTTCAAATGTGCCAAGAGAACTGAAATGGGCCCAATGAATGACCAGAGAGCAAACACTTCCAGGTTTCTTCTTCTTTATAACAGATCAATAAACAAAGCAAAGCAATATTCTGTGTGTCCTACAAGAGGTGAAACAAGGGGCATCTGGGTGGCTTAGTTGGTTAAGTGCCTGCCTTTGGCTCAGGTCATGATCCCAAGGTCCTTGGATCGAATTTCACATCAGGCTCCTTGCTCAGCAGGGAGCCTGCTTCTCCCTCTGCCTGCCACTCTCCCTGCTTGTGCTCTCTCTCTTTAAAAAACAAAAAAAGAACTGAAATAAATCAGAGCCTGGATTCATCCTGTCAGCATACTTAACTACAAATTAAAATCAACTGTCATAATGAGGAAGCTCAAAAGTCAGCAGAGGGACACACCTTTGCTTTTCCTTTAGGGACATAGTAGATACCAGATGCTCGCAAGAGAAAATAACGCTTTTTCCAGGATTTTTTGCCATCATCTTTCAACCACAGGACTCCTTCAATTTCTGGCACAGTTACAGAACTTCCACAAAAACATTCCTAAAAGAAGAAGAAGATTTGGAAAAACATGCGATCTTTGGATTCTCAGAAAAAAATTGTGTTTATTCCTGTGAAGTTCATACTATAACTAACCCACAGAAGTGGCTTTGGTAATAAGGTTACACTGCTATTATTACCTCAATTAGAACTCTGTATTCTAAACATCATATAGATCCATTTTGAAACCACTATGGCAGTCCTTATGAACTTTTCCCTAACATTGTTTTGAAGAATCTGAGTTGAGTTGTCAGCTGAGCTGCATACAACAGGATCTAAATGCATCTGTAGAGCACAGTAACACTAAATTTAGTGTCAGAGTTAACAAAAGCATTGACTAATTCTCCAAATTAACAACACATTTAGATTAGCTGTCAAACAATTTTTTTTTAAAAAGGCAACATGCTGAAAAAGTGCTCCACATCACTCGGCATCAAGGAAATACAAATCAAAACCACAATGAGTTATCACCTCACACCAGTCAGAATGGCTAAAATTAACAAGTCAGGAAATGACAGATGCTGGCGAGGATGCGGAGAAAGGGGAACCCTCCTACACTGTTGGTGGGAATGCAAGCTGGTGCAACCACTCTGGAAAACAGCATGGAGGTTCCTCAAAATGTTGAAAATAGAACTACCCTATGACCCAGCAATTGCACTGCTGGGTATTTACCCTAAAGATACAAACGTAGTGATCCGAAGGGGCACGTGCACCCGAATGTTTATAGCAGCAATGTCTACAATAGCCAAACTATGGAAAGAACCTAGATGTCCATCAACAGACGAATGGATAAAGAAGATGTGGTATATATACACAATGGAATACTATGCAGCCATCCAAAGAAATGAAATCTTGCCATTTGCGACGACGTGGATGGAACTACAGGGTATCATGCTTAGCAAAATAAGTCAATCGGAGAAAGACAACTATCATATGATCTCCCTGATATGAGGGAGAGGAGATGCAACATGGGGGGTTAAGGGGGTAGGAGAAGAGTAAATGAAACAAGATGGAATTGGGAGGGAGACAAACCATAGTGACTCTTAATCTCACAAAACAACTGAGGGTTGATGGGGGGAGGGGGGTTGGGAGGGGGGGTGGGATTATGGACATTGGGGAGGGTATGTGCTATGGTGAGTGCTGTGAAGTGTGTAAACCGGGTGATTCACAGACCTGTACCCCTGGGGATAAAAATATATTATATGTTTATAAAAAATAAAATTTAAAAAAAATGCAAAAAAAAAAAGGCAACATGCTAAATGAGTATATGCTCACAATTTAAAACTATCAATTTACATGATTCTAAAACAAAGAGGACATTTATTTTTTAAATATTTAAGACTAATTTGAAAGGGGGCGCCTGGGTGGCTCAGTGGGTTAAACCGCTGCCTTTGGCTCAGGTCATGATCCCAGGGTCCTGGAATAGAGCCCCGAATTGGGCTCTCTGCTTCGGCAGGGAGCTGGGTTCCCCACCCCCTCTCTCTGCCTGCCTCACTGCCTACTAGTGCTGTCAAATAAATTAAAAAAAAAAAACTTAAAAAAAAAAAAAAAAACTAATTTGAAAGGAATGTAAACAAACTCAAAATTATGAATTCTAATGTCTAAGATAAAAATGTAATTGAAAATCAACCACGTATTAGTAAAAGAAAAACAGAAATCCTCATTAAATATTAACATAGGACATTTTGAGCCTAAATTAACTTATCTCTTCCCAAAGTACAGAGAAACCAGGAATTATAAAGAGGATTTTTAATTGTAGCTATTATCACTATGAAAAGTTGAGTGCTGATCTTCATCTTCCTAAGTGCCTTGTTGCTAAGAATTTATTCTGGTTTTCAAACATACTAACTTCTTTGATTTTAGTTCTCTAAAATTGGCAAAGGCCAAAAAGCTAAAAACTGAATTATATTTGAATTTGGTTTATTAAAATAAGGGGATGTAGATATATATTTAAATGATTATGATTTTTTAAACTGAGTTATTTAAATTAAAGCTTGAAATACTTTGTAAATTACTAGTATATTCAAACTTCTCTTGGGTGAGCAAATAAAGCACCACAATCATGTCCTTCATTGACTAGCCCTTTCCCCCACTTATCTGCCCCTAACAGCTCATGACTCTTTTTAGTCCCCTAATATATTACTTGGCAAAGTAACAGTTTTTAAGAGGTTCTTCAGTAGTCGAACATTCACACAGCTGAACTCTTCCCTCCCAGGCTATGGAGGAATATAGGCTTCTCTAGTTCCAAGTGTAATTATGAATATATAGCATTGACATACTTGACTTCAAAAAAGGTACTTAATATTTTAATATGTAATGTGCAGGAAAAAAGGGGGTGGGGGGACTGAAGAGTCATACCTCCAGTAGCACTTCTTTGTTTCTATCTGCCATCTCAGCAGTTTCCTTTTTCCCCAGAAGATAATTCTGGAAAAATAAATAAATGAAAGTTAAACCCATCCTATTATTCCCTTGGCACAGGTGCATATCTGATTTCTTCTAGAGATACAGCAACTGTGTCTGCCTTTATAGAATGACAGGATTACTGCTTTGAACATTAACTTGTGCCTGAGCATCATTGCTAAAATGCTTAATGCTGGCTTCTCCTTACTTTAGCCAATATCTTGAGTTATTCCATAAACTGACCTCTCCCAAATCCTGAGATGATACTACATCCAACAGCTGACAAATGTTATGTACAACTAATGAAGGGACCTGAAAAGTTTATAAATTAAGTACAATGAGTAAGGTAAATTTCCTTAAAATATGCTAAGCTTAACTGACCCAGATGCAGAACACTTAATTTATGTTCTGGCTTTGAAAAAAGAAATCCCTAATTCTCTGAGACTATCATAATATTACTTGCTTACCTTGACTAAAATCTGAATTCTAACTATTAGCTTTATAAAATACTTTTTTCCAATTACCTGTAAGAAAATCTATTGGTAGGGGTGTCTGGGTGGCTCAGTTGGTTAAGAAACTGCCTTTGGCTTGGGTCATGATCCTGGAATATGGGGACTGAGTCCCACATCGGGCTCCCTGCATGGCAGGGAGTCTGCTTCTCCCTCTGATCTTTCCCCTCTCATGCTCTCTCTCTAATAAATAAATAAAATCTTAAAAAAAAAAAAAGTATTGGTATTCCCAAACGTGTATTACTCAACTAAAATTATCCAGTAAAGATGTGTCATGATTAAGCTGTCTGAAGGATATTTAATACTTTTAACACTGCTATTATCTTTCATTACTACTTTTTAATACTCCTTTTTCACCTACTGATTTTTTATAAAATATTTGTGTACTATTAATTGTTAACTCAAACATTATTCTGGAATAAACAGATGCCAAATAAATCAAGGTAACATATATTAAAAGTGGAAACATTTATAATCAAGGTTATTGAGATTAAAAAAAGATATTAAAATAAAGTGTCAACTGGATAAATGGAGGAAGTAGAGAACTTACACACGTAAGTACTTTTCTTTGATGGATGAGAAGCTCACCCAGTAAACAGCTGGGTTCAACAGGCTGGATTACAAAAAGCAAAAACCTGATAACTCCCTGGAGTCACTTCTGCTGCCCCAAGGGCTCACCCCATCTGGCTCTGGGTGGCAGGTAATCTCTTTGAGGTCTGACACCTGGGGTCCAGCAGACCTTCCACCACAGCAGTAGTATATGTTCCCATGGGGTTTTGCAACCGTAACACTCCAACCAGGAGGTTGCCAGTTTTTTAGCTCTATTAACTTAAAAGTAATAGAATAATATAAGATGAATATTCAGAAATCATGACTTCTGTAAGATATTGGCCTCACCTGTGGGTTCTTGAAAAGTGCATATTTTTCTATACGTTCCATAAATATAAGCTTGTTCTGGCTGTCTCTTGTCCAATTAACAAGATTTTCAACCAAGTTCTCATGGTCTTCAAAGATTCTCTCTGTCCCAAGATAAAATATCAATATTTTGTTAGTATTCATCAGAGCTGCATCAAAGACCTGAAACCCTTATGAAGTAATTCCAAGCAGAATCACAGAATTTTACTCGACATTATGGCTCTTAGTCCTTAGAAATGATCTAGTCTTCCCTCTATTTACAAATATAGAAACATGCCCACTGTGTTAATGGATTTTAGCAAAGTCACACAACTGCTACATGGAAGAATTAGGACTAAAATCTAGGTCTTCTCTTAGGTCTTCCTCAGCCTTCAGCTTTTTCCCATCCACCCCTGAAAAAAAAACAAAAACCAGGGGTGCCCGGATTGCTCAGCAAGTTAAGCATCTGCCTTTAACTTAGGTCATGATCTCAGACTCCTGGGACTAAGCCCCTCCCTCCAGCTCCTTGCTCAGCAGAGCTCTGATTCCTCTTCTCCCTCTCCCCCAGCTCGTGCTCTCTCTCTCCCTCTAAAATAAAAAAATAAAAATCTTAAGGAAAGAAAAAAAAGACACTGTAGCCAATTACATAAAAGGTAGTAGAGAAATATTATATATGTGGGTCTTTAACCTACAGCCATAGACATATTCCAAAAATTAGTATCCAAACATTTTCTGTGTATCATGATGCCACATCTCTGAACTCAAACCTTTCTAATTCTCTAAGAATAGTTTTGAGTATTATTAGAATACATTTTATACATGTTAATAAACTAATAACATGTTTCAGTTTCTGGGGGCTATGTATGTGTGTTCTGAGACAAAAGGGTTATTAAAGTTTTATTTCTCTGGAAACCACTGTGAAATATTTAAATATATAGGTACTAAGAGCAATGCAAGTACTTTTTAAAATAAAATATAAAGTTGACATTGATTACAGAATCAGCAAGACCTAATAAAATAACAATTGCCATAATCACACATTATAATAAGGAAACTTTTAAGAGTCAATTATGGCATTAAAAATGAGGAATTTTTAAAACTAGAGAATACCACGCTAAACTACAAAACCATAGGAAATTAAGATTTAGTACATCTAGCTAAAAATAAAAAACATGGGCTTTATGTTTTCCCTGAAAGTCAAATGCTGGTTAAAGAAATTCAGAACAAATCTGAATAAACAGAATGGTCTTAGTAAATGTGTCTATCTATGCAGTAATTAGAAGGGAAAAAGTATTTTGTTACTTTAAAAAAAACTGTTTTAGCCATAAGAAGATTTGAAGTGAACTGGAAATGATCTTGTATCCAAAGAAATCTCAAAATACTTGGAGGAAAAAAAGATAATGTAAAAAGCTAAGGCTATATATAGGGGGGCAAAAAAGATGACTCAAAGTGCTTTAGTTAACATGAAAACTGTTAGGATTGCATAGAAATTAAAAAGTAAATGAAGCAATTAGATTACTAACCCATTTGTAATTCAGAGATGGTTTCTACCAGCGACCAGTCTAAACTATAACCGCAGTGGGATTTGTCCATTAGGTTATCCAGCACTTGTCTCACTGTCTGCCTCTCATCCACCATCATTGTTTTAGAACTATCGTCAGACATGTGGACTCTAATCACCAACTATAACAGGTAAAAAGGAAATTAAATACAAAGCAAAAACTAGGCATTCTAGAAATTTCTTCCAATATCAAGTAACGTTGAGCAATGTTCTTAGTTAAATATAAATTAAAACACAAATGATTTTATTATGCAAGAAAGATGCTCTAAATTTAGGTATCAAATAACACATCTAAACAAATGGAAAGCATTTTTGAAATTATAATAACAGGTTTAAGATTATAATAAGATAATTTTGTTTTACTTTTTTAGGAGAATTTAAAACAGAAAGTTATTTCTTTCTAAACATTTTATCTACAAAAAACATAAGTGAAAAATATATTAGGAAGAAATATCCCTCTACCTTTCTGTATCTTCAAGGCATGTTATATAAACAAGGCAATTCTTTATAAATCTGATAAAAACGGATAAAAAAAAATCCCAAACGAGGAAAAAGCCCAAATATCACCTTTTTCACTTGTGCCTCTTTAATCTTCTCCAGGGCAACTCTGATCTTCTCAGCTTTCAATTTTGCAGCCTGTTCTTCCTGTGAACACAAAGCACTGCAGATAAACTAATGCTAAAACAATGAGAATTTCTGGTAAGTTTTTTTATCTTAAGGATGTTGCCAGTATTGAATTTCAGGAAGAATATAACTTCAGATACTTATAGAGAGAGCACATTTAAAAAATAACCCTATTCACAAAGTGAGAAGAGACATAGTGCAAAGAAACGTTTCTAAGATGCAGACTTGAAGATCTCTTATAGTAAGACTAGATTCCATCTTCTAGAGAAAAAGAAATCTGTGATATAGCAAATTAATGAGTTTGATTCTGTCAATCTGAAGCAGATGAATTTCAGACAGGAGAAAAAGGAGTGTATAATGGGCTATGTGCTGGCCGGCCAGTTTGCCATACCTGCACAGTCCCTTGACTCTGAATTTATACCCACCTTTGAAGCACGGGCAATCTTTTGCATACTAATGTTTTGTTTTATTATACTGAAAATGTATTATCATCATCAAACAGCAGAAAAAAGTCAATTTATTTCTTTGCAACCACATAAAAAATCCTTAATAAAAAATCCAGGTATGTTCTTATCAATATACTAATGCAAAGAGAGAAGTCTGCATTATACTCTAGGTTTCATTCTGCTTTGAAAAGCACACAAGATAATCAATGTCTCATGTTAGTAAACTCAAATTTGTTTCTATTAATTCACTGATGAAATTTTTAAATGCTAAATATAATTTTCCAAATATTTAACTTCTAGTAACTTCTTTATAAAATTTAGATTATAAATAGTAATAAAATTATCAAGAACTATAATTATACCATTTATTTTTTCCTATAATAACATATAGTATTGTAACACCAGTACTTACTTGTACTTTCCAGCAATAGGCCATTGTACACTGTAGTCTTAATCTCCAGTTGAGAAAAACTCATATAAGTAAATTTTCACTTTGTATGAAGGATTACTTTCCAACTCTAAGTTTTTGATTACTCTTGAAAACATCTAAGGAAAATATACACTGCCATCTTACATATTCCTATATTTAATATAAGACTTAAAACAAAAAAAAGATCTAGTTATATCAGCTACTTTTATCTGCTCTGGATTATGATTAAAAGCCATCCATTTCATACTCTAAGCTATCTTCCCTCATTTCAAGCTTAGTAGTTACTACTCCGGAGAACAGAGAAAACAGTAGTTAGAAAGACAGTGGAGCTTATTTGCCAGAAATCGGATCCTTTTCAATGAGAGGAGCCAGTGAATTAACATAATAACCAAGGTGTGGAAATACTATCTGTAAACCCAATTAGAGAACAAAGAACTTTATTTTAACAATGGAGGGGGTAAGGTAAGACTTGATTCTTAAGACTGTTATAGATATATTCATTTGATTAAAAGATCAAATCACTGTATAACCTTTATGCAAATAACCAAATAACATAATTATAAAATATGTTGCCTGTGTATTGTAAAATAATTCTTTTTCCTTTTTAATGCAGGCTATACAACGAGATCACTACGCTACAGTCATTAAAACTCTCAGTTTCTGGAATAATTCGTTTTAGATAAACAAATCATTGTTAGTTTAATTACCAAACCCTGTGTTTTTGATGAGTATAGCACTACTCTAGAAAGGAATTTTGAATACTATCATTTCCCAGTGGTTTCATGAAACCAGTTGACAGGTTTTTTTTTGTTTTTTTGAAGAGAAAAAGGGAAGCAGGAGCTTTATGAATGTCTTCTCAATAGGATAATGATCTTCTGTTTCTCATGGCTCATTTGACACATCTTTGTATTAGTATGAACGGCTGTTACAGAGAGGAAAAATTTACCAAGGCATATTTTCAAGTTTTACTTCATGTCTCTGAAAAGCAAATTTAAATCTCAAAGTCTGATAAGGAAAGACTGATACATAAAATCAATGCTTTGTGTATATGGAATATAAACATGAACTTCTAAAAGGCTAAATTCTTTTATAACCTTGTAATTATTCTGCAGAAATTAAAAAAAAAATCCCCCAAGCCAAGAATATTTTTAAAAGAAAAATATTCAAAAGAGTAAGACAAGAATTTTGAAAAGCTATAGACTAGGAGAAAATATTTGCAATTTATCCAACTTATCTGATAAAAGACTATCTAAAATATTCAAAGAAACTTAGAATTTAAGAAAATGAACAATCCAATTAAAAAACAGGTAAAAGTCATGAACGAACAACTCACCAAAGAAGGTACACAGATAGCAAATAAGCCCATGAAAGGATTTGCTCAGTATCATATATCTTTAGGGAACACCAAATTAAAACGAGATATCACTATACAACCTATTAAAATGGCCAAAATCCAAAACACTGAAAACATCAAATGCTGGTGAAGTAGAGGATCAACAAGAACTCACATACATTGCTGGTGGGAATGAAAAATGACAGAGCCACAATGGAAGATAGTTTGGTGGTTTCTAATAAAACAAACATGCTCTTACAATATGATCCAGTAATCATGCTCCTTAAGATCTACCCAAAGGACGTGAAAACTTACCTCCACCCAAAAATCTGCACACAGATGCTTCTAGCAGCATTACTCCTAATTGCTAAAACTTAAAAGCAATGCAGAGAGCCTTCAGGAGCTGAATGGGTAAACTGTGCTACATCCAGACAATGGAATATTAGTGCTAAAAGGAAATGATCAAGCCATGCAAAGACACTGAGGAAACTTAAATGCATATTACTAAGTGAACGAAGCCAGTCTGAAAAGGCTGCACACTGTATGATTCTAACAATATGACGTTCTGAAAAAGGCAAAACTATGGAGATGGTAAAAAAGATTAGTGGTTGCTAGTGGCTGGGGAGAAGGAGGGATGAATAGGTGGAACACAGCACTTTCGTCCGAGTGAAGCTATACTGCATGACGCTGTGTAGGACATGTCATTACACATTGTGCAAATCCACAGAATGGACAACATGAAGAGGGAACCCTAATGTAAACTGTGAGCTCTGGGTGATAATGATGTGTCAGGAAAGGTTCGTCAGCTGTATCGAATATACCACTCTGGTGTGGGATGTTGATTACAGGGAGGCTATGCACGTGTGGGGGCAGGTAGTATATGGGAAATCTCTGTACCTTCCCCTCCAATTTACTGTGAATCTAAAACTGCTCTAAAAGAATTCAGTTTATTTTAAAAAGACATATACAAATTTAAATAATTACATTCTGATATTGGTTAGAAATATAAAAATAGTACTTTCATACTCCCATTTTATTGTAATATTACTTGCCAAATACAACAGAACACAACCAGTGCTATCTTCTGAAGGAGTGATATAAAAAGTCATTTAATTTTAAGATTAGTTTAAACTAAGTTTCTGTTCTACAGGCTAACAGGAAAAATGCTGACATTGTGGAAGAAAGGATTAAAGAAATAAGAGATTCAGTGCAACCATTTAACATACATTAAACAAATTGGATTTCCTAGCCATCAATAAGAAACCATCTTTTTGGAAAGCACCTAGGTGGGGCTATTTTAACACCCAAATTTAGCTCTTTCATTTGCTCAAAATAATACTTTAATAACTACATAAATTGATCTGTTTTAAAACTATATCAAATTCAAATTTAGGAGCTATGTGCTTAATTTCAGCGTAGGCAAATTTTAGTTTATTCTTCTCCAGTTTATCAACAAGGATGATCCTTGCTAGAAGCTTTTTGAAGAAAAAACTGACCAAGATACTTCTTACTTTTAGAGTCTGAATATCATCACCGGAGCAAAACTGAAAATATAAATACTTATATCAAATTGTAAGAGTCATAGTGTTTTATGCTTCCCATGGATAACCTGTTTCTCAGAAAGTTCGACCTTTACCTACATTACCATGGTAGATATATTCATACCTTTACTTTTAACCATTACAACCCAGGAGAGGAAGAAATTGTTTTAAGCTCATAAAGCATGCAAGATCAATAAATCTTTGCTGATGTGATTAGACTGTACAGGAAGAAGATATTTGATAGTTTACTTATAAAGGCAATATAAGTCTATGTTCAATGTCTGCAGCCTAATTTCAATACAAAGAACAAAGCTTTATTCATCTCATGTTCTCCTCTTTTTGCTAATGCAGACAACCTCAAGGTCTTAAGTCTTCTGTCCCCTTATCTTCTAACTATCCCTTTCTTCACATTGTCTGTTCCTCAGCCATCCTCAACATAAGTAAAAGATATCTCACACATATAACAACTTTCTCTTCTACCCTGTCTCTTAAAAGAGCAAAAGACAACCCATTTTCTACCTGAAAAACTCCTGTGCAGCTATCACTAACCATCAAATGCCAAGTCTCCTCAAATTTACATAAAGAACAAAAACTCAGTGAAGATCTTATGATTAAATGAAAGCCAATGCTGTGGTTACAAAGTGTTAAAGCACTCTCTTGAGTGTAAAAATTAGAATACTGATAGAAAGAGTGACAGTTGCTAAGAGACGGCTAGTGAATTCCTTCAACCAAGAAATTATTAAGGCTTTGTTGGTTCAGAACAAATCCAGCTGAAATTAAGGGGCTCAAAATGAATTAACAGTTTCTGTAGGATGTAGTTTATTTTACATTTTACAACAATAAAAAGTTATATCAATTTTAAAAGGTTCAAAGAAAACTTGGAGTGGTAATTAGTTCACTGCCAATGAAATGCTCTACTCTTTAAAATTACTTAGAGCCAAAATAATAACTACTTTAGTTCCCTGACACTGAAAAAGACTCTCATTGGGAAGAGAACAAACATCAACTGAACATCTAAAGCTTACCACACACAATGAGGTGTGTTACACACGGTATCTCATTTAATTCCCAATAATGCAAGGCCAATATCACTATTATATACATTGTACTGATGAACTAAGGCTCAGAAAGACTAATCTAAGATCATACAGGCAGTTACCAAATGACTGACTACTTGCTCTCTCCACTATGTCATAAAGTTATAGCATAAACTAATGGGATAGCAGTAAATTAAAACCACTTGTCAAAAAATGAAAGACTTACAGTAATGT